CCTTGATTGTACAGTCCTTTCCTCTTCTATCATTTCACAATCTCATTTTCTTGTTCTGTGGCATATATTCGTCTGATACATCTTTGTACTAATATTTGTGTTTTTAAATAAATAGACTGGAAAAGAGTTTATGCAGTGATGAAAACAAAAGATATGGAAAAGGCTGTTGCGATATGTTTTATTTTTTATTTGAACACATAAATATTGGTACAAGGGGGCACCAAATATATATGCGCCATACAAAACAATGAGAATGGGAAGAGAAAAAGAAGGTAAGGTGCGTATGAGAAAAAAAGAACAGTAACAACCACAGATTAGTGTAAGGTAGTGTAATAATAATACTAGTGGTGGGGGAAACGGAAAGGTACAATCAAAAGAAATCTTTCAGTTAAGGAGGAAACAATTATTATCTATAAAGAAAGTAAAAGAAGGTTACAGCAGGATCGCCACTGGCTTCTATTCTGAGCCATATCTGATAACGTCTCTAGCCACTGTGTAGCACCATCTCTAGGACCCCAGTCAGGGAGTCGTGAAGAACCAACAGAAGCCAGCCCTTTGCAGCTTTCTTCCATACCACGACACCATGTCATACACTGACCACCTCTCCGCTTTTTCCAACCAGTCCCAGAGTCGGCAAATAATGCACGACGTGGAATTCTCTGGGACGACATTCGTAGAACATGTCCAAGCCACCAAAGTCGGTGTTTCAAGATGGTAACATCAATTGGATTATCGTCTCTGCACCCGAACACACGATGCCGAAGCTCTGCACTACTAACATGGTGTTAACACTGGATGTCAGCAATCCTTCGGAGACAGCGATGATCAAACACAGAGAGTCGTCTAACAACCTCAACTCGGAGAGGCCAGGTTTCACAAGCATAGAGCAAAACTGCTCTCACCGATGCGTTGTAGATCCGACCTTTTACAGCTAGACTGACATCACGAAGACGCCAAAGATGGCCCAGATTGACATAAGCCGCTCTGGCTTTCATTATATGTGCATTGATCTCATCAGTCAGGCCACCACCAGACTTATGCAGCTACCTAGATACACGAACTTCTCAACTACTTCTATCTGCTCACCATCCAGGGTGAGTACAGGATTAGAATCCTGCCAGTCTTGTAGAAGTACTTTGCAGTTCGAAGGTGCAAAGCACATACCGTACCTACGGACACTGATTGCCAACTGATTAAGTGCGGATTGCATGTCTTGGGCATTTTCGCACAGTAAGACAATATCATCCGCATACTCAAGGTCGAGAAGTCTTTCTCCAGGCAACAGATCCACACCGCCATTACTTACATCCATCAGAGCTGTTTCCAGAATGTCATCGATGGTAAAGTTGAAGAGGAATGGTGAGATTGGGCAACCCTGTCTAACCCCACTGCTTGAATGGGACAATGGAGAGAGGTGGTTGTATATGGGGCCTTTAGGATGTTAACAAACTTCTCAGGCACACCCTTCTTCACTAGACAATCCCAGAGAACAGTCCTATCCAACGAATCGAAGGCAGCCCTGATGTCAAAGAACACTACGATTGTTGGCCTTTGATAAGTATGACAGTGCTCTAACATTTGGTGGAGGGTGGAGATGTGATCAATACATCCTCGACCGGAACGAAAACCAGCCAACTCCTCTCGAGTCAATCTTTCTCGGGTTTTGAACAACCTGTGAGGTATGACAGAAGCTAATAGCTTGGACGCAATCGGAAGTAGACTTATACCTCGATAGTTGTTGCAGGAACGACGTGAACCCTTTTTAAAGATAAAGACAACTATCGACTCATCCCTTGACGCTGGAACACTCTCTAGTTCCCAGACCTTTGTAAACAACGTCGTCCGTTCGTTAGCCAGAAAGCCACCACCATTTTAAAAAAGGGCCGGATGTAAGTCATCTGGACCCGGTGATTTGTAGTGCTTCAAGAGTTGGAGTTCGTTGCGGACTTCCGCCTCATTTGGTTGATCGGTCTTCACAGGTGTTATAACTTGGGGTTTCCCCGCGTGGGTTCGAATCCCATCCCCGTCGCCAATTGTTATAACTTGTGACCGCCGATTAGTGACTTATCGATCGGATCAATGACGCGTAAACCCGTATGAGCAGCTTAGAGTTCTGATTGGTCCTCCTTTCCGCCTAGCCCAGCCAGTTAAGTCCAGAACACCAATCCGAGCCTCTGCGATATGAATCCTTATATTTCAAACATACTGAGTTTATATACCAATCAAACAGACCACAACGTAGCATAAAGTAGAAAATAACATTTGTACAAAATTTGGCCAAATGTGGCTGTGAATGTGGGAAGCAGTGACTAATGGAACTTTCTAATCTAACAGCACATAACCGACTGTTAATGGGAATCCAATCGATTAGTGCTGCCTCAGCTCTAGCGCTCAGTGCGACACCAACGCCAGAAAAACTAGACCAAGATGCTACAGGGTCCCCGGATAAACGCACGTAAAACAAGCTTTTTGAAGCGACAGATGCAGAGCGAATTTGTAGTACTTCACCAGAGTCTTGAGTAGGGGTCTCGGATAGACAACAGACGTCGATATTAAGACTTTCCAAAGACATAGCTAGTCCTATCTGTTGTCCGACCTGCATAAGTGTGCGAACGTTGAAGGTAGCCAGTTTGAATGGTGCACGTGGCTTCAGAAAAACTGCTTCAGTATTCGTATTTGGTGGTAGCATACAATCTTCAACCAGGCAGTGGCTCGAGAACGTTTAGATAGAACCGAGTTTCCACCATAAGCGAGCTACTGTATAAGTCGAAAAATAAGGATACATAGAGCGGGAATAAAAGAGAGTGAATAATTGACGTAAAAAATAATAATGATTTGAATTGTTTGACTTTTAATTGAAACGTGAATAGTATTTTCAGTAAATATAGTCCTTTTATTTGATTTGTGTGTGGTCTGTGACACTGCCCGAGTTTCCAGAACAAAGCAGGTGGTCTTCCTAGGGGGTCACACCCCGTGCCTTTGACCTAAAGGTCTAATCCACAATGCAGTGGAGCATCGTGAAGAGATGCAGTCCCATGATAGCCGGTGACCAACAATTGGTTCATACGCTATTTGTTCCCTCATGGATACTGGAGCGATAGGTAACACCAGACAACTATCCTGACCCATCGAGAAAACTGGTATTAACAATTGTTATTGACTGTTTCGGTTAAAAACAAAACCGTCTTTCGATCTCAGTCCAGGTTACTAGATTGATGGGCAAACTTATTTATGGGATAGTGTAATTGTTCTCTAGCTGCTCTTAAGTTACCTACCATATTTAAACTACTCGAATGTGAAATTGGCGTAATTCCCATAGCTCTCAGCCAGTTTATAAACACACAATAGCTATACCTGCTTTGTGAACTGCGGAGGTCTTTATGAGACGTGGTTCAGTTTTAGAAGTCAGGCTGAATAAAATATTAGCTTGTCTGAGAGCCCCCAAATACACTGGTATGGCCGGTTGAATAATGCTTCTCCTTTGATGCTTAGTGCATCACTGAACGCAGCTAGATTGCACGTCTGTGCCACAGGATCTCTGGATAAGCTTACGTTAAAGGAACTTATTAAATGAACTGGTTTTGATTACTTGACTAGAATTCCCAGTGTTGGTCTGTGAGTTGTAGCAGACATTGGGAGTAGATTTTGTCTGATCATAAAACTGTGGATGTGATAAATGTTTACTTTGGATTGTATATATACTTCCGAGAACTCTATCAGATTTCGCATCAGTTATGGTGCTGAAAAATGATCACTTAAACGGGGTAGAACTTTCAACAAAGACAAGCTGCCAAGTGAGTTAAGTAAAATTACTAACAGAATGAAAATAACAGTTCGAACCCGAAGTAAAATAAGTTTGCTCATGATAAAATACTTGTAAATTTAGTTCGGATGGATAGTGATGATTCCCAAATTAAAGAAGGCGATTTTCCGGGGGGATTACTGCAATAGGTCTTTATATAAAAATCTAGTAGAATAGCGTCAAGACTGTGAATAGAACGACGTCAGGAGATTGACAGTCGGGACGAGTTTAAATATGTTACGTACGCGTGAAAAAGCCAGACACTTCACATTTTATCACATGGTCAGATGTTAGGTAGGAGATCATAAACGCGGCTTTAGAAGTTGATTATGTATCAGGTCAAGTTCTTGCTCTACATGTTTTTGTCTGATTCAGAACGAGGGATGTATATATACCCTTGATTTTTGTACATTCAAGTTCGGTTTAGCAATTAAACCTTCCTATCTGTTTCAATACCCGTGGCCGTGTGAGAGCATTTCGAGTTGGAGGGCGGGTCCACCCCACTCTCAGCCATACCAGGGCATTCGGGGCTTGGAATAATTGAACTTCGTTGGTGCTTAAATAACTTACAAGACACTAGTCGCAAGAATAAACATGATTAAAAGACATTTTGTATGTAATCATGTAATTCTACTACAAAGGAAACTTATTATTCTGCCTATTGGTCTTATGCCTGATATCAATTCACTTTAAAGTTTGCTCCTGAGCAGCCACCTAAAATTTTATAAAAAGGAAGCTAATTTTTTGGTAAGACATTTATGCATACTCTCATTAACTAAAGCAAACTACATTTCGAAGTTATTAAGTAACTACTTTTGAATTCTTTAGTTTAGTCAAGTGAGTGCATTGAGGATTTTGATAAAATACGGTTTTTTTTATCAGACTTACTCTTCATGTACTGTGTTGAAATATGCAAGCTATATTTACGTGCAACATTGTATGATCAATCCAACGATTAATTTTTTATGGTTTTCATAGAGTTTACTGGAAAATGTACATAGGGATCAGGTTATGAGTTAAATCGGTATTTATTTCCCTTATTGGCATGATTTTACAAACCTTTCCATGATGATTGTTTTTTAGGCCAGCGGTTGCTCTACATGCTCGTCTCACTGAACACAATTTATCTCAACTATCGTTCTTCGAGAATTGTCATTAATTAGTTGCCTGGTCTGTTGTTATAATCATCATTTAAATTATGAATCAAAAACATTATCTTGTTCCATCATTTCTGGCCTCAAAGGGATTGGTTAAACTTCACATCGACTCCTTCAATCATTTTATTCAAACAGAAATAAAAAATATTGTCCGAGCAAACAGTCGTGTCAGTGTTCCAGAAGCCAATTGGTGGTTAGAGTACAATGACATATATATCAAACCTCCAACAGTAAATGATGGAGGGGTTGTCGCCAGCCGTGTTACTCCTCATGACTGCAGACTCCGTGACCTAACATATGCTGGCGAAATTCTTGTTGACGTTACGTTTGTTAGACAGAACGAAGTAGTGTCGAAAAAAGGTGTCCTTATTGGTCGCATGCCAATCATGCTAAAAAGCTCCATATGTGTACTAAATGGTAAGCCTCCGTGATAGGTTACGAACATTTATGTGAATATTTTCAATCCTCCTAGGTTCTCTTTAATGTTTCGTTCGTGTTAATCTTCCATACTAGTAGTTACATCTAGTATAAACATACATCAATACTTTCATTTGTCACACTACTTAGTCTTGTGTCTACTCTATTTGCAGTACCTAAGTGTTAGTGCTTTTGAAATTGATCTGGGAATTTGTAAAGTAAATTTAGGAGAACCTAGTAAATAATGTTTCTTTTTAAAAATGAAACAGCGTCTTTTAATGGTGATCATGTGCTTTATACCACAAAAAGCTAATGTATTTATGTAGTTACGGTCGACCGCTTCACTTATCTTGGAAGTCTCATCAGCCTTTGTGGTCTGATGTTTGACGAAATCTCAGCACGGATACAGAAGGCTCGACTAGCTTTTGCCAACTTGCGTCATTTATGGCGTAGACAAGATATCCATCCATCAACCAAAGAACGTGTTTATTGCTCAGCAGTTCGTTCCGTCCTACTTTATGGCAGTGAAACATGGCCGGCAAAAGTAGAGGATATTCGTAGGTTACTAGTATTCTATCATGGGTGTCTTGGAAGCAGTGCTTGCATATCCTGGGACCATCGAGTAAGTAATGTAGTTGTTAGGAAACGGGTACTAGGTTAGGGTGGCAAGTCAAATGATGAAGTAATGAGACTTCATCAGTTGAGATGGTTTGGACATGTGTTACGTATGCCCAACCGCCGACTGCCTCGACGTGCGATGTTCAGTAGTATAGGAGTAGGTTGGAAGAAAGCTGGGGGCGACCATACCAAAACGTGGCACAAATCCACGAAGTCACTGACAAGTAGACTGCGTCATGTTGGTAGGTGTAAACTACCTGGTTAGGGACCGCGAGATGATAGCAACCGATGGTTAGAGACTCTGAATGACATGGCTCAAAATCGTTTGCACTGGTGCAAGTGCATCAACTCTTTGTGTCCTCCCAAATTCTAATCTCTTAAATTCTCCTTTAATCGTTTTTTCTCTTTCCAAATTTCTTTTACTGGATTATACTCCTTTAATAACATCTCCAAACCCTAATCTTCCCGATTACTGCTTATACTCTTACTACCTCTACCACTATGGGATTTAAATCGACAATTACATCTCAGTGCTAATGTGGTATGGCAACTTGAACTGATGTACGAACGTACGAGGTTCTACGTTGTGACTGACTGATTTATGTAGTTTGCAAGTCGTGTGAACCATAATGCCTTTTTTGATGTCAGACGAGCTTTAGCTAGAATTTTTTTTACAACTTGGAGTACCAAAATATTCAAGCACATCAATCAAGTATTTTCTTTGTTGTTGGTTTCTTTATTAGTCCTGTCATAATTAATCGATTGTGTAGCTTGTAACGCATTGTCTTGAATACTACTAATTTACTGAATATTGTTGTTCATGGGGTCGAAATTCCCTATTGACTAATGGAAAGTAAACACATTGTCCACATTCGGTCGAGACTTATGTTGTTGCCAATGTGTATAGACCTTCATTTATATTAAAATTACAACTCATTTATTTTACTCCACAGCTCACTGTCACGTCACTTAACAATATAGGTGTGGGCCACAACGTTTACCTGCTTATTACGTTATATTGTCATCTTTTAAAATTGTTCTGTTGCTAATTCTTAATAAAGATATCAAAATGATATATCAAGGATGAAATATATTTAATCTATTCACTTATTGCAGTTGCATTAGACAGTTATAAAAGCACGTCATTTTTTACTGATTCCACATTCAAGTCCTGATGCATTGGGGGATCAAAAACTGTAACGTAAATGGAAGTAATTGTTGTTTTAAGTAGTGAAAGAGAAAAGTTATATAATAATAGAATAAAATATCTGTTGTGTCTTTATCCCCCACTAGTTATCACGTAATTTATTCGTCAATCAAAATATAATTTATTCGGCCTTGTACTGTACTAAACCAATGACATTCCTTCGGTCTGGTCAGCCGAGTGTCCTATTGGTCCGTTGCTCGCCTAGCCCGTCCAGCCGAGTCGAGAATGCCAACAACAGCCTCCAATATGCGAATCAGTTATTTCAGACATGCTGGGTTTATACATCAACCAAACAGACCTCAACGCACCATAAAATAGGAAATAACATTCATACACAATAAAGTCAAAAAGTAGCTGTGAACGTGGGAGACAATAATTAATAAACTGAGTATAATTTAAGAACAGTAAATCGTACAATAAGAATCTATAGGTCAAAATAAAGCTTATAATAAGATGAATATAAATATACACAGTCTAATTACTGAATAGTTATAACATAAGAATATATAGATAATATTTGTCTATTAAAAGGTCTCAGAAGTTACTCGTAATTTAATCTTCACTAGGATATAACAATATCAGTCTTGAGTTTCTGCATAAATTCAACGAAGATAAATTTTATTTCTCAAAGACAAACCTCTCTTTATAAAAAGTACAGTATTGTAGTAGAATCAATACAGGCCTTTATTCTGACCAAATATCTAATTACGTCTCAAGCCACTGAGTTGCTTAATTTCTGGGATTCTATGCAAGGATTCATAATTTTCTAGTACATGTTAGCCAGTCACAACTGTTCTTCATTTTTAGCTCAAAAAATTACTTTTAACTATTCAGAATCCATAATTTCTCAAAAATTTTAGTTTATCTACTACTTATGCAGTGATAAGCAAATAATCGAGTTGTTTGCAGTTTATTTCAAATATCCCCCTCGTTAATTTCCTGTTTTGGTCCACGTCTGTTTAAATTCTCACGCTAAATTTCCTTGCAACTACCGAAGTTACTTTATTTTAGATACTTGGAAGCCCTCAATAATATAACTCGTTTCTTTTTGGGGGTACTTATCTACAGGCTATCATTTTTATGTCCATTAAATGAATTAGGTAAAAGTCCTTCGGAGCTTATGCGACTTAAAGAATGTCCATTAGATCCTGGCGGTTACTTCATTATTGGTGGTACTGAAAAAGTAGTTCTCATGCAGGAACAAACTTCCAAGAATCGTCTGATCATTGAAGAAGATAGTAAACGTGGATTAGTGTGTTCTGTGACATCGTCCTCTGCTCAAACGAAATCTAAGACTAACATCGTCACGAAAGATGATAAATTTTACCTTTCTCATAATTCCTTCATCGTGGATGTCCCTATTGCCATATTGTTTAAAGCAATGAACATTACTTCTGACCAGGAACTATTGCAACTTATTGGGACAGAAGAATCTGTTTGGGCTAACTTTGTTCCTAGCCTTAAATTATGTTTGGAATATAATGTAAGTTGATTCATTTGATACTTGTTTTACATATTTTGCCAACCTTTCAGCATACTATGGGCTAAGTTTTGAGGCCGAAGAAATAGCCTTAATACAAGCTTCTTTATATCTCCAAATTAAGTCATTTGGAGCCAACGTTAGTCTCCTCCTCCAAGTAAGAGTATAAGATCTCGTTATAATAGTACTAAATTCTTTATAATCTGGAATTTTTCGGCATATGACACCACATTGTAAGTTTTTCGTTTCCTACAGACATTAGCCATGGTTATAGTATTGTATTTGGTGTATATTCGGACAAATGTCTCCATACAATAGAATTATATGTTCTCAGTTAGGGTTCTATCTATAGTTCCTGCGTCTTCATGCTGTGTGGTCTTTGGACTATTAAAATGTAGCCAATTATTCTGTTACAGGATTGTTCCAACTGGAACTTTATGAACATCTGATGAGACCTCATTCTGTTGCGGACTTTGCAACTTGCCAGTTATATTTCCTGTCTTCAATGTAGTTATAACTGGAGCTTGGTTTTGAAATCGGCCGCATTGAATCACTGGGAAGAATAAAATACAACTACTGCATCTTCTGTATCACTGCTTACTGACGGCCCATTTAAGAATTGACTTATATTTTCTTCCGTCATACATTCATTTCTCATCCTTTCATAAAATGCATTAGTGATATTAATGATTGTATCAATTATTTATGTGTAAAATAGAAAACCAGACTGATTCAGCTTATCTGCCTGTAATTTTTCTAGAAGAATTTCGGCCGAATTTCCGTGAACTTCTGATGAGACAATGCTTTTATTTGTCCCAAAAGAAAAAGGATTTTTCGCTGATACAATTTAAGTCCTGGGACTAATTGATTTGAAGTTGAAAAGATGATACAACTTTTTCTCCTTATGCATCCGTTAAGTTAATGACGCCACACCTGTCACTGTTTGTTGTACCTTCAAAAGGCCCCCAAATGCCCTGGTATGGCTGAGAGTGGGGTGGGCCTGCTCTCCAACTCGAAATGCTCTCACACGGCCACGCGTATAAAGCCTTTGCCATAGAAGTCCTACTCATTGCCTTCTCGGGGCGGGAGTGTTGTTTATAAAAATGAGAGGAGAAAAAGCGAACGTCCGGCGCCTCAACCGGATTCAAAACCAATGGTGCACATAGGCTCCAGTATCCATGAGGGAACAAATGGCGTATGAACCAATTGTTGGTCACCAGCTATCATGGGACTGCATCTCTTCACGATGCTCCACTGCATTGTGGATTAGACCTTTAGGTCAAAGGCTTGGGGTGTGGCCCCCTAAAATACCCACCTGCTTCGGTCTGGGCACCCGGGCAGTATCACAGCCCACACACACACAAATATTGTGTGGCGCATATATATTTGGTGCCCTCTTGTACCAATATTTATGTGTTGAAATAAATAAATAAATAAACAAAGTACCTTCGAAAGAAAAATGTTCTTGAGTTATATTGGGGCCTCTGTGAACAGGTCGTTATTGTGTTGTATTAGCTAGTTCGATTAGTGATTAATGAACAATGGTCAAAATCTGAACTCCTGTTAGTCCTGGAGCTCCTTCCAACCCAGTGTCTAATCAGAAGACGAACCCAGAAAGAAGATTAATTCTTTTTTCAATCGTGGCTAAAAACTCGTGGAGTAATATAACTCGAATATCTGACCTACAGCAATACAGATAGAAAATTGCGATGTTTGTACGGTTTGATCAGAAGTAATATAAAAACGGAGTAATGGGGAATTAATTAGTGATGCGTATGAAAAAAATGAGACATAATAACAGTTTATGGGTTGAAAGAATTGACGCAGCAGAATGTACACAGCACTAAGAAAATTGTCTTAAGAATGAAGAAGGTTTGCTAGAAATTATTACACTCATTTATAGCAGGTTTCAATACATTTGAAATGTATCAAGTACCGATTTGATAAATAAATGTGGTTATTAATTTCTGCCGATCACTAAATAATTCTTGGTAGTTATCGTATTGTCTCCTTTACTTTATTTATGTAGGAGTTGTGATACATGTTTTCTCACTAATTACCTACCTTGAGATTGTTTACCGTTCTACATTTACGTAGGTGCTAATGTCTTTGTATTCTAACTTTAGTAAGATACTTAAGTTTTGTCTAGTGCGAAATTGTGGGTATGTAAGCAAATATTCTCCTGAGAACAAGGTACATTTATTTAACCCGCAATGCCACACATTTGTAAATTGCAGTCACAATAAATAGTGCGAGTATAGTTAAATAAGGAACGAGTTCAATTCATTTTCGTCTTTGGTTTGATCCCTTACCATGTTCATCTGCAAATGCTTCAAATACTTTTTTTGATGGGTTGAATAAAGGTAATAACTCTAGGTAAAGTTTTCATAAATTGTATTCAGTTTCTAAGTAACAGAAGAATGCAGTAAACGAGTTTTCTTCATTGACAACTATCGTAAACATAATATCATTTCACGGGAGTATTTTTATTTTACAGTTATGGTTATTCGTTCGACCTTATCTAATTTGTATTATGAAGACTTTCAACAACTGAAGCTGTGAATGTCGGTTTATGACTATCTGATCGGTTGTGTTATTTGAAGTTGTAACGGGTGACTGCAGGTTTGATAAGCAGCGTAGTTGTCGATCAATTCAGTGGCACGTAAACACGTAAGGACAACCTAGAGTCCCGATTGGCCCCGCTTCTCTGTCTAGCCCAGCCAGTTGAGTCTAGAACGCAAGTCACAGCCTCTGAGTTATGAATCATTATATTTCAGCCATACTCTATTTATATACCAAACAAACAAACCACATCGTACCATAAAATAGAAAACAACATTTACACAATATTTAACGAGTGAAATAAATAACGGCCAATAGGAGATGTTCATTTAACGTCCAAGGACATCATTAGACTTAACATGATAATGGTTGGCACATTATTCCTCAGCATCCATAACAGAAGTTGAAGTCGTTTTGTAACATGTACTCACGTAATCCAAATTATTGATTTGAACTCCCTGAAATGAACATATATCGACAGAAAACTTATTCTTACTTAACAATTACGATCCATTCACAGACAAAAAGAAAAAAACAGTTACTGAGAAGCCAATGAATTTCTTCAGATATATATCAGTTTCCCTTCTTTTATACACAATGACGCAGATGCATCCATTCTTTATCTTCCCCCAATTCCTCATAACTTTTTTAGTGTTTTTACTTCACTAATTTATATTTTGTTGAACCGTATCTTCGATGCATAGTCTTTTCTATCTCTACTTATATTGTTACTACTTTACTATTCTGGGATTTGACCTAACAATTCCAACAGCTTGCGCTAATGGGGTATGGCAACTTGACTGATGTACATACGTACCAGGTTCTACGTTACTATTGTCTGACTATTATGGTTTTTTTTACTTTTAAACACTACTAACGAAGCATTTTTTGTACGCAGTAAAATCGATAGGTTAAAACTAAAGAAATTAGTATCAAATGGTTTGTAAACTCTGTAATTATGTGATCAATTTTCGGGAAATATAACAAAAAAATCAATTTGGATGTTGATTGTTCTAAACCATTATTGTAACCGCGTTTATCCAATGGTTCCCAACGTTGATAACTCCTCCATGTTAAAAGGGATGCTGAAACTGGCTTTTACAATTGATTAGTTGCTGCCGTGCTTGGTTCTATTATTCACGAATTCAGTTGACGCTTGACTGCAGCCATCATTTCACTCCGAAGTGAAATAGTAGGATCCATTAATGTGAAATGCTAACGAAAGTTATTTTGTAAATGGTTTCGTCTTTAAAGTGTACTCAAAGTTGTTAAAATCACTCAACTTTGGATTTTTTTTTCAGATCCATACCTGCTTAGATGCTTGCAATTGGTTACATTCACGTTTAAGACAACCTCGATATCGCACTGCTTTCGGAGCTAGTAGGACGCTACGAACTGCTGCTAATATTTTAGAGACAGATATTATCTTAGAAATACAGAGATTTTTACGAGATATAATTATTACACATATTGAAATGGAAAAACTTAACTTTGCGCCGCGTGCATTCTTCTTGGGTCAGATGGTTCGTTATTTAATACTAGCCAACGAAAAACGTATTCCTGTAAGTCACTTTTCATCATATCACCTGAGTTATATGCAGTTCATCAAATCAGTTACTTTATCTCATGAATAGAAAAATTGTAAATCTTTTTTTCGATGGTAAAACATGTTGAAACAGGTGTGATAAAAGTAGTGAAACTGAATTCAGTTAGTGTAAAAATAATTAAGAATACATATCACGTATATTAACTCATATAATCATGAATCCATTTCCATGCACTTCGTGTTGCATTTTAAGCTGCCCAGTAAATTATATTCTCCTCTAGACGTGTAAGTTTTAAAACTTAAGTGTCAATTTGCTGGGTACATAAACGTAAGGTACGCCGATGATAAGTAGTGTAAATAAAGCTTCGTTACCTAACGTTCGTAGTTGCGTTATTTTTAATAAAAGATACAAATAATTCATGGTTTTTTCAATTGGAGCTATTATTTTTGATGTTACTTAATTCATGTCCTGTTTTAATTAGATTTCATTCCAAATTCTAACAAAAACCATCAGTTTGGAATTATTTATTTATTTATTTGAACACATAAATATTGGTACAAGGGGCACCAAATATATATGCGCCATACAAAACAATGAGAATGGGAAGAGAAAAAGAAGGTAAGGTGCGTATGAGAAAAAAAGAACAGTAACAACCACAGATTAGTGTAAGGTAGTGTAATAATAATACTAGTGGTGGGGGAAACGGAAAGGTACAATCAAAAGAAATCTTTCAGTTAAGGAGGAAACAATTATTATCTATAAAGAAAGTAAAAGAAGGTTACAGCAGGATCGCCACTGGCTTCTATTCTGAGCCATATCTGATAACGTCTCTAGCCACTGTGTAGCACCATCTCTAGGACCCCAGTCAGGGAGTCGTGAAGAACCAACAGAAGCCAGCCCTTTGCAGCTTTCTTCCATACCACGACACCATGTCATACACTGACCACCTCTCCGCTTTTTCCAACCAGTCCCAGAGTCGGCAAACAATGCACGACGTGGAATTCTCTGGGACGACATTCGTAAACATGTCCAAGACACCAAAGTCGGTGTTTCAAGATGGTAACATCAATTGGATTATCGTCTCTGCACCCGAACACACGATGCCGAAGCTCTGCACTACTAACATGGTGTTAACACTGGATGTCAGCAATCCTTCGGAGACAACGATGATCGAACACAGAGAGTCGTCTAACATCCTCAACTCGGAGAGGCCAGGTTTCACAAGCATAGAGCAAAACTGCTCTCACCGATGCGTTGTAGATCCGACCTTTTACAGCTAGACTGACATCACGAAGACGCCAAAGATGGCCCAGATTGACATAAGCTGCTCTGGCTTTCACTATATGTGCATTGATCTCATCAGTCAGGCCACCACCAACACTTATGCAGCTACCTAGATACACGAACTTCCCAACTACTTCTATCTGCTCACCATCCAGGGTGAGTACAGGATTAGAATCCTGCCAGTCTTGTAGAAGTACTTTGCAGTTCGAAGGTGCAAAGCACATACCGTACCTACGGACACTGATTGCCAACTGATTAAGTGCGGATTGCATGTCTTGGGCATTTTCGCACAGTAAGACAATATCATCCGCATACTCAAGGTCGAGAAGTCTTTCTCCAGGCAACAGATCCACACCGCCATTACTTACATCCATCAGAGCTGTTTCCAGAATGTCATCGATGGTAAAGTTGAAGAGGAATGGTGAGATTGGGCAACCCTGTCTAACCCCACTGCTTGAATGGGACAATGGAGAGAGGTGGTTGTATATGGGGCCTTTAGGATGTTAACAAACTTCTCAGGCACACCCTTCTTCACTAGACAATCCCAGAGAACAGTCCTATCCAACGAATCGAAGGCAGCCCTGATGTCAAAGAACACTACGATTGTTGGCCTTTGATAAGTATGACAGTGCTCTAACATTTGGTGGAGGGTGGAGATGTGATCAATACATCCTCGACCGGAACGAAAACCAGCCAACTCCTCTCGAGTCAATCTTTCTCGGGTTTTGAACAACCTGTGAGGTATGACAGAAGCTAATAGCTTGGACGCAATCGGAAGTAGACTTATACCTCGATAGTTGTTGCAGGAACGACGTGAACCCTTTTTAAAGATAAAGACAACTATCGACTCATCCCTTGACGCTGGAACACTCTCTAGTTCCCAGACCTTTGTAAACAACGTCGTCCGTTCGTTAGCCAGAAAGCCACCACCATTTTAAAAAAGGGCCGGATGTAAGTCATCTGGACCCGGTGATTTGTAGTGCTTCAAGAGTTGGAGTTCGTTGCGGACTTCCGCCTCATTTGGTTGATCGGTCTTCACAGGTGTTATAACTTGGGGTTTCCCCGCGTGGGTTCGAATCCCATCCCCGTCGCCAATTGTTATAACTTGTGACCGCCGATTAGTGACTTATCGATCGGATCAATGACGCGTAAACCCGTATGAGCAGCTTAGAGTTCTGATTGGTCCTCCTTTCCGCCTAGCCCAGCCAGTTAAGTCCAGAACACCAATCCGAGCCTCTGCGATATGAATCCTTATATTTCAAACATACTGAGTTTATATACCAATCAAACAGACCACAACGTAGCATAAAGTAGAAAATAACATTTGTACAAAATTTGGCCAAATGTGGCTGTGAATGTGGGAAGCAGTGACTAATGGAACTTTCTAATCTAACAGCACATAACCGACTGTTAATGGGAATCCAATCGATTAGTGCTGCCTCAGCTCTAGCGCTCAGTGCGACACCAACGCCAGAAAAACTAGACCAAGATGCTACAGGGTCCCCGGATAAACGCACGTAAAACAAGCTTTTTGAAGCGACAGATGCAGAGCGAATTTGTAGTACTTCACCAGAGTCTTGAGTAGGGGTCTCGGATAGACAACAGACGTCGATATTAAGACTTTCCAAAGACATAGCTAGTCCTATCTGTTGTCCGACCTGCATAAGTGTGCGAACGTTGAAGGTAGCCAGTTTGAATGGTGCACGTGGCTTCAGAAAAACTGCTTCAGTATTCGTATTTGGTGGTAGCATACAATCTTCAACCAGGCAGTGGCTCGAGAACGTTTAGATAGAACCGAGTTTCCACCATAAGCGAGCTACTGTATAAGTCGAAAAATAAGGATACATAGAGCGGGAATAAAAGAGAGTGAATAATTGACGTAAAAAATAATAATGATTTGAATTGTTTGACTTTTAATTGAAACGTGAATAGTATTTTCAGTAAATATAGTCCTTTTATTTGATTTGTGTGTGGTCTGTGACACTGCCCGAGTTTCCAGAACAAAGCAGGTGGTCTTCCTAGGGGGTCACACCCCGTGCCTTTGACCTAAAGGTCTAATCCACAATGCAGTGGAGCATCGTGAAGAGATGCAGTCCCATGATAGCCGGTGACCAACAATTGGTTCATACGCTATTTGTTCCCTCATGGATACTGGAGCGATAGGTAACACCAGACAACTATCCTGACCCATCGAGAAAACTGGTATTAACAATTGTTATTGACTGTTTCGGTTAAAAACAAAACCGTCTTTCGATCTCAGTCCAGGTTACTAGATTGATGGGCAAACTTATTTATGGGATAGTGTAATTGTTCTCTAGCTGCTCTTAAGTTACCTACCATATTTAAACTACTCGAATGTGAAATTGGCGTAATTCCCATAGCTCTCAGCCAGTTTATAAACACACAATAGCTATACCTGCTTTGTGAACTGCGGAGGTCTTTATGAGACGTGGTTCAGTTTTAGAAGTCAGGCTGAATAAAATATTAGCTTGTCTGAGAGCCCCCAAATACACTGGTATGGCCGGTTGAATAATGCTTCTCCTTTGATGCTTAGTGCATCACTGAACGCAGCTAGATTGCACGTCTGTGCCACAGGATCTCTGGATAAGCTTACGTTAAAGGAACTTATTAAATGAACTGGTTTTGATTACTTGACTAGAATTCCCAGTGTTGGTCTGTGAGTTGTAGCAGACATTGGGAGTAGATTTTGTCTGATCATAAAACTGTGGATGTGATAAATGTTTACTTTGGATTGTATATATACTTCCGAGAACTCTATCAGATTTCGCATCAGTTATGGTGCTGAAAAATGATCACTTAAACGGGGTAGAACTTTCAACAAAGACAAGCTGCCAAGTGAGTTAAGTAAAATTACTAACAGAATGAAAATAACAGTTCGAACCCGAAGTAAAATAAGTTTGCTCATGATAAAATACTTGTAAATTTAGTTCGGATGGATAGTGATGATTCCCAAATTAAAGAAGGCGATTTTCCGGGGGGATTACTGCAATAGGTCTTTATATAAAAATCTAGTAGAATAGCGTCAAGACTGTGAATAGAACGACGTCAGGAGATTGACAGTCGGGACGAGTTTAAATATGTTACGTACGCGTGAAAAAGCCAGACACTTCACATTTTATCACATGGTCAGATGTTAGGTAGGAGATCATAAACGCGGCTTTAGAAGTTGATTATGTATCAGGTCAAGTTCTTGCTCTACATGTTTTTGTCTGATTCAGAACGAGGGATGTATATATACCCTTGATTTTTGTACATTCAAGTTCGGTTTAGCAATTAAACCTTCCTATCTGTTTCAATACCCGTGGCCGTGTGAGAGCATTTCGAGTTGGAGGGCGGGTCCACCCCACTCTCAGCCATACCAGGGCATTCGGGGCTTGGAATAATTGAACTTAATTGTGGGTTAACCAAGTGTTGACCATGAGGTGTTTTACCCTAAACTAGTATTTCAATCTATTTGGCTGCGTTTATGACTGACTTGTCTCAGGTATACTTAGTTGCAAGTGTGGATTTCATATCTAAAGTTAAGGATTAAAAGCTCTAGTTTTTCCCTACTAATAAATTTGCATAGATGAAGGGTTTTCTTAAAGAATTCAGTCATCTATAATAGCAATAATTTTTTATTCAGTATCATATGTTTAATACAGAGGTGGAACTCTCAGCATAAAATATCTCAACAGGGCGTTCCTATCTTTCTTTACGTTAAAATTGATGTGTGTACATATAAATCCAAGTTGTTTAGTAAGTTTTACAGCAGTGATTCGTATTTGTGTATTTTTAACCTCAGATGTTTCCGGTTATTTTTTTAGTTACAAATGTCTTATGTGTTAAGTGGATAGTTTAGATTTGGTAACTCTTACCAGTTGTGCAAGGTTCTAAATGCTTATGCACAGCCCTGTTTATGATGAAATCGTAAAGTTCCTCACTGACTGTCTAAAGTTCTTATTCAGTGGTGTTTAATGCTACTAATTTAGTATCTTAGTAACGTGAGATCAACTTTCAATCATTGAGTCGTTTGTGAAAATTTAATCAAACGCACAAAGATTTAGTTCGTCGAAGGTTATCTCTCTCCTCAGCACAATAACTGTTATTCGGTTTGGCATACAAGCCTTTATATGGGATTACGTTTTCTCATAGGAGTCATCCTGTTTTTAATCGCTGTAAGTGTATTTCAAGTCATTGTCCTACTGACTGATGTGATTATCATGAGCCAGTCTTTGAAGTCAGTATTTTGTATCAATGCTTATTATTTACATACTTATTTTCTCATTTATTGTAACTTCTTTCAGAGGATAAAACCGGAATCTATAATGTTTTTTTAATGTCGTCGTACATTCATGCACTTACGGCGTTCTCTTTGGAATCTGAATAGCTGATACTATAAATTCTAGCAGTAACTCCATGTCCTGGAAGTAGTTGAAACCTTCTTAATAGCTTCCATTGAAGTAATTGTTTGAGGAGAAATTCGACATTTTGGGGATCAGTGTTCAATGTACCTCTTCCAGACCAAAAACTTTTGATTACGTTTCATAATTTAACCAATTAAGATTGGATTATTTTCACACTTTATGGTATCACTGAGAAGTTTTCGCTCATCGCTAAAACTGAGATTCAAGGTTAGGGTTAATGTATCGCCAACTTTCCTGGGATATGTAGCGATAGAGTATTTTAAAAAATGAATGTCATGAAATACCGAAATTATCTTATACGTAACATATGAAATTCGATTGTTTTAGATAATGATCAACAATGAAATCCAAGACTCATTTAGTTCTATTTGAAACTCACCGGGTTGATGTAAATTCATCCTAGTGTTAATGTTCACACTAAGATTTAATCTGAAAATCTATCGCTTCAAGCACCGACGAGTCACTCATTAAGCTAATATGTTATGATAGCCACACACGTCATCCAATGGTTCCAATATTTATTACTTATTAAGGTTGATATCCAGGACTGAATTTGACCAACAAATTATCCGAACATTTGTGGTGGCAAAACTTTAGCCCTATCAATTCCTAATTTATCAACGCCTTTAAAGAAAATTGTTTGCTCACTAAAACTCAGGCTCGCTAGTGTTGCTATTACAATTATCATTAATTGTTAGATTTAAGGGTTTGGCTTGAGTAACTGGGACTTTCAACAAAATAATTTGTTAGTTGAGAAATTATTGGGAAAGTCCTACCTTGCACAACCCTATTTTAGTATTTTCTATTCTCATCCTTATTTTTTTCCAGCTGGTCACTTAATAAAACGTAATTAAAACAGATTATTTCTACCAATATCGTGTATTATGTATTGTTTTACTGGCCTCAATCTTCTTGATTGTGAGGACGAAGATTCTAACCTCTTAAAGGTCCATCGTTGGATATCATCCCAGGTAGAATTGTTTTTTACTTCCTAACAAATGAAGCATACCAATATCCTATCTTAAACGACCTATTATTCAGTAGTAACGTTTAAAGACTCCGATGTAAACATTTCCACAAGTTTCACGTACACGTTTTAGAAGGGACCTAATATAAATATCTTCCAAGTTACTTAGGACTTACACAACTATCCCCTCGTACTCTGTACGTTTCTGTTTCAATTTTCTATAATATCTTCTAATTAATTTTTCTCCATGCATATTTTTAAATATGTATATCAATTTTCAAAATAAATCAATTTTATGATTGTTAGCCAGATGATCGGATTTTTATGGGAACAAACGTATCGAATTGGCTGGTAGCTTGCTGGCCCTTTTATTCGAAGACGTCTTCAAGACATTTAACGAAGATCTCTGGTTAACAGTATCCAAGATTGATACAAAACGCCGATGTACACCTTTTGATATATCTCGACATATTAAAACGTGGATGATAACCGAACAGTTAAATAGAGCAATTTCTTCTGGAAATTGGATCATAAAACGATTCCGTATGATGCGACATGGTGTTACACAAGTTGTTAGCCGTTTATCTTACGTTGCTGCCTTAGGACATATGACTCGAATGACGAGCCAATTTGAAAAAACTCGTAAGGTAAGTCTTTGGAAAGTGTGATTGATGAGGAATGAAATTATCACTGCTAATTGTAAGGGTTTGTATTTTACTATTGTCCATATTTAACAACGAATTCGATCAGTCTCAAACAGAACTAAGTACCATAATCGGTAGACAGATCGACGAATGCTGTTGGATTCAGTTACATCGAGCTGACAAGTCCTGTGTAGGGTGAAATGTGCGTTTTACACTTTAATTATTGTCACTATCGAAAAACATTACAAAAATGCATGCTTCACGACTCTTCTCTACTGCTATTCGTCAAGTTTCTGTAAAAAAAGACTACGAACACCATTATTCACTTGTGTAAAAAACATAACCCTTGAATTTTTCTGTATGCAGTATTTTTTTCCAAAGAAAATATATTCGCAGTCTCTAGCTAAGTTAAATAGAGATAATGTAAACACGCAAAAATGTTTTCCGAAATCACTAAGACAAAGTAAGATGAATCATTGTAATGCGTTCTACTCCCTATTCGCGTCATATAGTATCATAGTTTATGCGCTCCTCAAGTATTGTTTTACTAGGTGCAACGGATAAATGTTTTCCATTCCTTTGTAATAATGGATTGTTTACATTGCTATATAGAGTATCGTTTTTCTTACTATAGGTCTCTGGTCCACGTTCTATTCATGCAAGCCAATGGGGTCTTATCTGCCCATCTGACACACCTGAAGGGGAAGCTTGTGGACTTGTTAAAAATGTTGCTCTCATGTGTCATGTTACGGTCGAAGTAGACGATGCACATTTGATTGAGCTAATTAGCAACTATTATACATTTCCACTCTACCAGATGAGATATGCTAAAAATGAGTATGTTGATGTTCGCCTTTTAATAGTATTACTTTAATTTAAATTTTCCTCTGACTAATAAATTTATTGAACCAATTATCTAATCCAAGTGGATTTTTCAGGCCTGCCATCTCATTCATACCTTCAATTTGTATTGCTGTTTATAGCTGTTTTGCAACAGCATAGTTGAATTTTACGATTACTGTGAACTAATCAATTATCAGAATTGGGTAAATTGTCTCTCGACTGGGTCACCTAAATTATTGTACTTGAGGCCCGCTCTCGCGCTACACTTTTATTTAATTTTGTCACCGAGATACTAGTAAAGGTAGTGAAGTGTTCTTTCAACTTTTAACAGATAAATCTATCTGAAATTCCTCTCATGAACTTATAACGCAGAGACGATAAGGTTCTGTGTGATGAGCACTCTGGAGAAATAATCTTCTGAAAGCTTCACGATCAAGCCATCCAGCTCAGAGAACAAAACTCCATCAAAATCATCCACCTGAGCTACGAATCTTCTCCACCATCTCAAAGTCCAGGAATGTTTTGTCTCCGTTTCCTGTCCTGTAAAGGCTGTATTCGTAAGGTTGTATTCGTAAATGCCTATCCTAAATAAAGAGATTAAGGTAGTTGAGTTTACTGATTACTTCATGTACTTCGGAAGCTTCACTACTTCCGGTGGGTTGGTGACGAGCGACATCTCGACAAGTGGTCTACGAAGGCAGACGATATGTACAGATAACCACCAGTTGAGTATAGATGACTTAAAATCACTGATTGTGCATAAGAGATTCACTCTTTGAAGTATACATGTTAGATATAGATTTCTTGATAAGCTTTCTAAATCGATTGGTTAGGTTACTAACCCCGCTGCTCTATAGTGATTAGATGTGTTCCCTAGTGGATATATTACATTTGTATAGTTGCGATTTTCCTGTCAAAAAAACAAATTTGGAAAAATACTGATGATGTACGGAAAAATAGACAGGATAAGTCCACAAATGTGTTGACTGCTAGTATGCTTACATACAAATAATTAACAGACAAGTAAACATGGTTAGATGGGATAAGTAATTAGAAGAAATCAGTTTTGTACTTCAAAACACTTCCCAGTATATATGACCTAAATGTTAGACCTACTTCTTGGTCGTTTTATCTGCTAGGTTCCACATTGTTTCTTTCTTACTGTCATTATTTCAACAGTTTTACATAAAAATATTTACTATGTTAGTCGCGGATACATTCCTTAATATCTAATAAACTTCAGGTACGTAATATATGTAAATGGAAAACCGATTGGATTCACTCAACACCCTGGGAAACTATGTGTTTTGATTAGAGGTCTTCGGCGTTCGGGTAGAATTCACGGCTTTGTTTCTGTTTATATTAAGCAAGCTTATCAGTGCGTTCATGTCGTTAGTGATGGTGGCAGATTCTGCAGGCCTTATATTATTCTGTGCAATGGAAGACCACTCGTAACGGAATCTGTTCTTCAGGTCAGTTGTTGTGGCGACATTTTTTTAACTAGAGTGCCAAGTGTGCTTCACATAATTCAGTCGATATAGAGATTACTAAGTAAGTATGCTGTCAGGTTATGACCTACTTTTCAGGAATTACCAAATGTAGTCGTAAAATTGCTAGTAAAGAGGAGTTATGGCAATTACATTTTGTTAATGCTAGCGAATTCTACCAATATATATTGTCTGTTATTGATTAGGTTTTTACGATTGTGAAAACAAGTGGTAGTATCTGGTTATCTGAATCAAAGTAAGTGAAATCGAGTACAACGGCAACGCTTTGAGGTTGGTGATGTACCACTCAGACCAGTTTGAAACTTTGAGTACCAACAAGCGTTATGTATTTATTGATAATAATGATTTCCTCTAAATTATATATATATAGTAGTGAAGGATTTTTCGGTTGTTTTATTCACAGAGTAATTAAATATTATCTGATGACGTGAATCCCATAACTTTAGTTGTATTCACTATCCCAAATATTTGATCATCCTGGTTCTGTTAATGTGTCTTGCTCTGCAATAATAAAATATGTTATTACTTTGATTAATTTGGGTCATAATTTCTCCGGTCATCCAATAAATTGGTACCTTGATTCATTTGATGTATTTTTAAATTGTGTTTTGACATGACTAATTACTACTTGTAGGATTTACGCCACAATGTTCTAAATTGGGATGATCTATTGAAAAAAGGGTTAGTTGAATATTTGGATGTTAATGAACTCAACGATTGTCTGGTTGCAATGGACGAGTCCTGTTTAACCGACGGTAATCACTATACTCATATGGAAATCGACCCCGCCACAATTTTAGGTGTCGTTGCTGGTTTAATTCCTTATCCGGATCACAATCAAGTAAACTTTGTTCTTTACTTTATTAAATAAATAATCTCTTGAATTATTTAATATAGGCTTTATTTAAGGTACCCTAGAGCTTATAGCTACGGTGATAGCTGTTATCTCTTTACCAAACCGTAAAACATGATTTGTGTTGAAATAATTATTTGAAAGTCATTAAAGACCTAACGTGTTTATTGTTTTCACGGCGTCCTAATTAAAAAGCACATGACTAATTGATGTGTGGTCAGTGAAAGTAAGCTATGATTGACCACTGAGAGAATACAGACAGACACTCAGGTTACTTACTGTTTAGTGTGAACTCTTGATTATTGATGTCGACTCTGAACTCATTGAGTATAGACTGCTTGTAATTGTGTTAAATAAAATATTGTTTAGCCTATATTCTGGTTCTCTTCATTTGATCGTGAATCCTTTATCCGGTATAACGTGATTCCAGTCTGTGTATAGCTTATCGATCGGGTATCTAGTCTCACGAGCACGGGTACATTACAGTATTATTATTCTTATTATCATTACTACTATTGCTATTATTAATACTGTTATTACTACAATAATTATTATATCATGTCCAGCGCAAATAGCTTTTTTCTGCTAATATACCACGAAACATGTTACTCTCGGTGTAACTATCCTTGATAGTTCCGTTTACATACACTTGATTGAACATAACTGTTTCTTTAACTTTTAATCCAATATATATATATATATATATATATATATATATATATATATATATATATACTTTTTACTTAAAAGAGCTTTTCGTTTACTCTTCTTACTGGTTTTATTGCAAAGAATCTTCTGAGAGATATAAAATTAGTAATTTATGTTTACAATTTCAACATTTAATGAATGCTTGAGTGAGTGTTCTTTTCTTTTTTATGGTGTATATTTGATAAAATATTTTCATTATTTCCATTTCAAATATTATAGTCTCCCCGAAATACTTATCAATGTGCTATGGGTAAGCAAGCTATCGGCACTGTTGCACTTAATCAGCAAATCCGTTTTGATACACTTCAATGTCAAATGGTCTACCCTCAAAAACCCCTTGTTCAGTCAAAACTATTCAAATGATGCATTTTGATGAGGTAAGCTTTTGTCATATCATTAGCAGTTTTGTTTTTACCTAACGTTAAAATATGCTCTTTGTGTATAATCGTATTCAAACCAGATTTTTCTCCATATGATAATAAACCAATTTTTACCACTGAGTACTACTAAGAGAGCAGGTAAACAGTATCAGTTTATGCCTTTTATGAGTAGTTAATCCAGTTTATTTCTCAGTGATTAATATGATTTGATCACATTATAGCGGGAATATATATATATATATATATATATATATATATATATATATATATATATATGTTCGTCACTTATAACCCTAAAGATCTTAAGATGATTTATCATTCATGATTGACGATAAGGGTGTGATTTGCATTTGTTTCCTTTTTGTTTTACAGTTTAGAAATTATATACCTTGTTATGAATCATGTTAATTTTAATGGTCGTTTGTCTGAATAGTGAATATAATTTAATGTTCTCACGTCTACACCGTCTCGTATTTTGTACTTTATTCACATCAGCTTCCTGCCGGTCAAAATGCAGTTGTAGCGATAATGTCTTATTCTGGGTATGACGTTGAGGATGCATTGGTTATTAACCAGGCTGCAATTGATCGAGGTTTTGCTCGTGCTTGCGTTTATCGTCGGTCGGGTGTTCATCTCAAAATGCATGAAAATGCAGTTTACGATCGCTTAATGGGTCCTAGCATAGAGCGAGGTAGGTGAACTGTAACTTTCTTAAATGTTGTCTGATGCGTTATATTTGTTGTGTATCATTATTTTCTTATGTTCCTTCATTTACACTTCAGTTACTACTGCTTTTTACCATACAAAGTATGTGTCGAAATAAGCCAGTAGTCAATCTTACCACTTCTGATTATCGTTCTACTAGGCCTTCCTATGTACAAAAACATATATACAGCTCACTACTTTAGATAGTAGTGCACTGATTATTTTTCTTCATGCATCCTGTTTTAATGAATGTATTTTGCCTTTTAAAATATTACCATATAGTGCTGACATGTTACAAGTTTAGTACATTCATTTAGTAAAAACGAATTTTCAACTGTACTAGTTTGACGAACTTAGCGTATTGTAATTGAAACAACAATCACCTTATTTTCATTGTTTTAAAGTGCTTTACCTGGTTTTAAGACAGTCTTTGTGACATTGTTCTCTCTTTAACTTTCTACCTCATGTCATCTTTAAAGCAATGTCCTGAAATAACTGAGTGGTTTATATTCTATACATGATTTATTATTCTTACATATTTATCAGTCAGTCAGCTACAACGTAGAACCAGACACATATATGCATCGGTCCAAGTTGCCACACCTCATTAGCACAACGAGATGAACACCGAATTCATAGAAGTAGTTAATTCAATGGTGGTAATATATAAAATAAAGACTGCATATAAGGATATAATACATGAAGAAAGAATTAGGTCGTATAAAGGAAGATATAAAGCAATCGTAATCTCATAGTTTAAGGGAAGACAGAGAGTGTACACTTCTACGTCATTGTGATCGATTCTGAGTCATGTCACCCAGAGTCTCCAATCATTCGTTACGATAGTCACACGGACTTCAACCAAGTAGTCTGCATCTACCAGCATGACTCAGACCAAAAGTTAGTGACCTCAAGCACTAATGTCGTGTTTTGGTTTGGCCGCCCTTAATTTTCTTCTAACCATCTCAGTCAATGAAGATTCATAGCCTCACAAACTGGATTACCATCATTCCCTAATACCCTGCGTTTAACCTCACTATTACTTATCTGGTGATCCCAGCAGATGCTGGCAATATTTCTAAAACATCTGTGATCAAATACTAGTAACCTACATATATATTCTACTCTTAATGGCCACGCTTCGTAACCGTAAAGTAGGACAAAACGAACTTCTACGCAGTATACTCGTCGTTTACTTGATAGACAGATATCTCGCCCTCGCCATAGATGATGTATGTTGTCAAAAGCCAAACAAGCATTTTGAATCTGTGCAGAGATTTCATCAGACACCAAACCATTAGGGCTGATCAGACTTCCAGCCTGAGTGAAGTTGCCGACGTGTTCGACTACTATTAGAGCATAATCGGAGTCCAAACATGTATTCCAGAACGAGCGACAGTCTTTTATGAAGCTTCTCCAACGATGACTGTTGGCGATATGGTCTATTTGAGTCCATCATTGGTTTGGTGCAAGGGGTCACCATGTTAGACGATGTCTCTCCTTATGCTTAAAATTAGTGCTTGCTAAAAATAAACGATCGTCTGAGCACAGTTGCAGCAGATGATAACTATTATCTGTTCAATGAGCTGGAATACTAAAATACCCACCTTAATGTCTTTCTATTTGGTTTAAGCTACTTACATGGGCATTAAAGTCACCTGCTATGAGTACTATGCCTGAGTGTTTAGCTTTATGTAGAAGTTCAGAAAGCTTTCCGTAAAAGTCATCTTTCACTTCATCCGGTTTGCAGTCAATGGGAGCGTAGGCAGAAACAACGAAAAGGCAACAACGTGTGTCCCTATCGTTCCGAGTTCTTACGGAGCCGTTTGGTCGAACAGCGCATAGGTGACTGTTAACGAGGATCCATCCTAATAGTGCTTGTTCTGGCCTCGTACTAAGTGCTGTACCTACACCTGTCCGTTCACGAGAGGGTGTATCTCCTCGGCCCTATGTTTTGGCGAGGTGAGGTCAAGTGGATGACCACACTAGGATCCTGTATTCGTGTTTCGACGACACAGAATACATCAATTGTACGACATTCTATGGTTTTAGCCAAGGAGGCTTGCTGGCCGACTCGACATAGGATGCATATTTTGATGACTCCAATGTGTAGTTTGGAGCGAGGTTTCAGTAGACCTGGGACAGTAATTTGTGCACTAGAGTCGGTGGCCATGATGACATTTGAGGAGAAAGTCGAAGGAGTAAGTTTAGATCTGATAGTCAGTATAAGAGGAAATTAATTATGAGAACAGTGGTCTTGTGTAATGTTAGAAGTATGATGGTGGTTATCAGCCAGTATAGCCTGATTGGTTCATCATGATAGACAAGCCCGACCACCACGTCAAGGTAGCAGCAACAGTTAGGAAGACTCCTTACGGTGAAGCTTTATTACGATAGTTTAAGCATTCATTTCTATATACGTGAGATAATTTTCTGCATTTCCATATTGTAATAGGTATTATTTAGCTGTATCCTTTTTTCTCCATTAGTGTTTCAAGGTGTTTCCTCTCTTGCAGGCGTAAGAGTTCCATTCAGTTATTTGTCTTAATCAACGAAAGGTAAATATTTCATCTAGATCGTGATACAAAACATTGTTGTTGACACTTTGTATCCACCTTCTAGTCTTTACTCTGTATCTCTCTATATTTTGCTCTACTTAGAGACCGGCGTTCTTCGTCGTGGAGATGAGGTGCTTCAGGCGGATGGAGTTGCGTACATTGGCGCTTGTGTTAACGACCGTCAAATCCTTATCAATAAAGAAATGCCTGTTGTTAGTTCAAGCGCTGTATTGGATAATGCGGGATCGCTTAGTTTAAATGTGAATACACCTGAGAACGCGGTAAATTCTATGTCTTATAACTTATTTTGCGCTTTTTCTCTCAATACTGAACTAATTATAAAAATCTTAGTAGGGAATATACAGTACGAAATACATTCATTCTTATTAGTTTTATAAATAAAATCTGTGACCAAGTGTCCAGATGATGATCATTACATATTTGCTTCGCTATTCAGAGCAAATTCGATATGAACGGTTATGTCCAATAATTGTATTTTTACATTTCATATGTAAACTGCTGAGACATCATCAGTATATGGTGTTCTTGATGGTTGTTAAATATGACATATCTTCTGAATGAATGCTGGAATTTATTTCATAAGCTCTTCTAATAACCCAGGCTAACACTATACGACACGAGAGGAAAGGTGCGAAATATGGAAAGAACGCTTTACTCCTAGGTTCGTTTATGTACAAAAAAACGAGGATATTTATAGCGTTTCAGATGGCATTGGTTTTCTAGAAGGTTCTGGAACCTTACTAAACATAGTAGCAGGATGGGTCAATCATCCATCCAGGAATGTGATACGTGACTCTTCACTTTATAGATGTTTCTGAAGAATTTCTATTCATTGCAGATTGGATAAAATGTTTCCCAGCGTTTTCAGGGTCCCTTTGGGCTTTTTCCAGGGAATATTCTGTCTCATCAACAAAGTGTGATTGAGATCACAAACAGAACCAAGTTAGATGACAATCAAAAATCAGGAAGCACTGGTGATTTTAATAACATTCAAGAATCACCATAAACCCTCCTATATTGATAATTATCATGTACTCACTAGTGAATTAATTCGAAAGTAAATTTTCAAAATCCTAATGAGAAGTCGTGACCAGTGAAGTTCAACCATATTGGGTGCGAGACAGTTACCCACCACCGGCAATAGAAAGTGATTGGCAATATTGGGATTTTGTCTATATTTATAAAAACAATCCACAATTGATAGTATCTGATATTAATGCTCTGAAAATCAGTGAATAGTGTCAATCCAAGAGAACTCATTTGATGCTGAACTATAAAAGTATCCATAATTCAATACTTGTACTAAGTTATTAACAAAATATGTACCACTTTTTTTGTGTAACATTCTTTGTGATGATTAAATATTTCTAACACTCAACTTTTTTTACATTGTAAAAGGAGAATGAGAACAGCTCACAAAAATTAGTTTATGAATTGACAAAGTTGATATTATGTTAATTACTGATTTGCGCTAGACTTAATTTGAACATTGTAAATCACTATCGGTTATGGTTTTAAGTGAAATTAATTTTTTGTATTTAGATTTAAATTCAGACACAAATCTTATGATTTATTCTAGTTTATTTCTTCATTTTAAGTTGGTGCATTTACTATTTCATTTGTTTCTAATAAAAAATCAACATCGAACCCAAATCTCTCCCCGTTGATCCTACCATATTCTTTCTCATTTTCTTCATCTGGTAGACGGAATTTAAACGTTGTCCCGTAGACTACAAAGGGATAGAACCGTCCTATGTAGAAAAAGTTATGTTTTCCACATCAGAAGGAAACCAGGCAGTAGTAAAGATATTGTTGCGTCAAACTAGAAGACCCGAAGTTGGCGATAAGTTTTCCAGCCGCCATGGTCAAAAAGGAGTCGTTGGACTTATTGTTCGTCAAGAAGATTTGCCTTTCTCAACGAATGGCCTTACTCCTGACATCATAATGAATCCTCATGGATTTCCCAGTAGGATGACGGTAAGTAAATGCTTTTGACAAAATTCCTTCGAACCATTGTTATCAAGGGATCTACGGTTTACAGATTTCGGTCACTCCATTGTTTTCAACTCCTCCTGATAAACTTAACTGTATCGTGATTTCCTATTATTTTTCAAGCTATCAGTAAAGATAATGCATAGTCTTATCGATAACGAACCCTAAAGCAGAACTAGATTAGAACCCTTTGTAAATCACTAAACGTATTCCAAAATGATTTCTGCTGGGGATTAAGTGAACTTGTGATAACTTCAACTCTAGCAATTTCTCTCAAATAAATTGCAAAATTCACTTCGTCTCAACACAAAACTGAATTTCAGTCAGTCATAATCAACAGAGCTTGACACCAATGTATGTTAGCCCAAGTCGCCATACCAAATAAGCACCACAATATGAGATTACCAAGATGAACAGTCAAAGTCGAAATAACTACAGTATTAATAATGATTAAAATGATTAAGCATTCAAGAATACTTTTCAAATATAAGGAATGAATCCGAAAAATATGAATTACAGAATGATATCCAAGCTCGAGATTCATCAGAAGAAACAAGAGAAACACATTCAATCATACTTGGTTACGGTGTTCAAAAAGTTCGCCCTCACACAAATCGAATGATTTACGTGGCGCATATCTATTTGGTGCCTTCTTGTACCAATGTTTATGTGTTTAAATAAATAAGTTCAAAAGGTTCTGTGTCATGGCAGAATTTTATCCAGACAAAACTGTTACCTGCGTATCCAAAATCGGAAAGTAAACCTACTGGTCCAAGAATACACTAACTCTACAGGAAGTTTGTAGACCTCAATAGAAGAGACCTTCCTATCCATCTAGATTGCATGATTTGTTTTTCACTTGTTATGCTACGAAATACATGCACAAATTTAATCATTCCACAGTGTAAATGTGACATACAAACACAAGGATCGTGCATCGTGAATGTTCACCTTTGATAATTATGGAAGTAGTATCCTTAATCTTGTTTTCATCTACGTTTTGATCTAATTTCTTGCTTTAACGTTTTTAAACTTGTGTGGGATTGAGATTGATTCTTTGGTGAAAACCAACGTGCATAGTCATGAAACATCAATAATTTATTTTCAAATTCGTCGGGCTATTAGGAATAGATTACTTCAAACACATTTCTATGCAGATAAATGCTTAGGATGAGGTAATGAGCTTAAGAAGATTTCCCAATAAAGTTACCGCTGTAAAATTATATCAACCATCTAATGTTGGACAAAATAAATCTGTCCATAAGTAGTGCTTGTGAATGTAACATTATGTTTGAAGAGATTACGAGATCACCTAAAAATCGACGAACGGAAGGCAGGATCAGCCGTGCAACGACAAGACAGCTGAAATATTCTAATTTGTCCCAGTCCAGCTAACAAGAGAGAGAATTACAGGTTCAGATGAGCGAAAGTATGTTCCATAAGCAGCCAGAATCATGAACAACAACAAGCACACAACTCAAGCGTATATGTACAACGTCACACAATAGTGTATTAAAAGAAGCAACCAACCAATGACATTTAATGTCCTTTCATGTGGGAAATACAATCTGAAGTTAAGAATGGGCGCTTTTGGCGCAAAAACGAGAAATTCAAATTTCCAAAATAAAATTACGGAAAGAAAAGCTTACTAAATAAATTCTGGGGATCTAGCATCCTCAAAATGTAAATACTATATTTTTCATCCGAAGTATTACGTAATTTATGTTGTTTTTGAAAGAGTAATCTTAGAATTTCGCAAATATTTGCTTCATTTTTATAGTACATTGCGTTCCCGAAGATCGCTTTAAATTGTGAAATGCTGATTTGGCTTTTTAATTAAAATGGATTCTGTTCAATCGATGTCAAGTAAATAATCTGTACATTCTGTTAGAATTCGTCACCTAGATTTTTAGTACTTAGAAGTCACTATCTGTAAACTGATGAATATACCATCGTGGAGTAACTTTCTGTAACTTTGAGGGATCGATTCTGTTTGGTAACTATCAACTCATTTCGCAACTGTTCATTCTTAGCATGTTTTTAATTTTTATTTTATTTCCATTTCGTAAATTTATTGTCTGTATTTACTTTGAAGGTGGGTAAATTGTTAGAAGTCTTGGGTAGCAAAGCCGGGGCCATCGAAGGAAAAATTCGAGACGGTTCAGCGTTTTCTGGGGATCCTGCTGAAGTCCTTTCACAAGTACTTATTGACCATGGGTATCATTATCTTGGCAAGGAGATTTTGTATTCTGGAGTTACTGGAGCCCCGCTTGAAGCGTTTATTTACTTTGGTCCTGTTTATTACCAGCGACTTAAGCATATGGTTATGGATAAAGTAAGTGTCGAATTTTTTATTTTGACTTTGATATAGATTGAGATTGCTGGGTGCATGATTAGTTTCCTTTCGCCTTTATTTTTTCTCTGCTTGGAATTAGAGTAGTCATATAGATTTTTTGAAAACAGGTTAAAGTCCTAATAAAATAAAAACCACCGAAATACTAAGTGGTTATTTAGTGAACGAAGACTTAGTGCATATAACCAACTTACTGTTTTTAATGTAAAAATTAGAGAGTGCTTTGGTCAAATATGAAAAACATGTTCAGGGTGTCTTTAGTTGAGAATTAGTCTAGAATGAAACATTAAAAAAACTTTTTTTCAGAATAAAAGTAGATGCAAATCAACTTTTAAACCATTAGCGTCCTATAGCTATGTTTTATTTGACAAAATTTGCAAAATATTTCCAAATATTTCGAGTGATATGTCTACATTTCTCAAGCTTAGTGAATCTGAGGACTTTACCCTTTCTTCTGTCAGTTATTCCACTTCTGATTGGTGTTACATACTACTTAAATTGACAGACATAGCATACACCACAGTTTTACCTCACCTTACCTTGATCACAAAAATGTAGATAGTTGTATCTTTTCGCCTTGTCACTGCTGTTCCCTTCGTTTGAGGTTCTTGGCTATTACTGTTGGTGTTAATATAACGGTGACATTTAGAAACGCAAATTGAATTATTATCACTATTATCAAACCGTCGAATCCCATATAATTCTGCTTCAATATAAAACATTTTACTCTTTCTGAATGAATACATACCTAGTACTTAGTTGCATATATCCAAACATATTTTATCTCATTACTTTGAACAGATTAAAGTTTGGGAGTAGTGTTTTGCCGATCTGCCTAGTACAATTTTCGCAGTGTCTATGGACTTGAATTGCTTTTTTCTTACTGGATACATCGTATTGTTATCCTTAAACTATTGCACTATCACTTTCAGGTACATGCTCGCTCACGCGGGCCCGTCACAGCATTGACTCGACAGCCGACGGAGGGTCGTAGTAGAGAAGGAGGTTTACGAGTTGGAGAAATGGAACGAGACTGTTTTATTGCTTATGGTACTTCACAATTACTATTAGAACGTCTTTTGCTTTCCAGCGATGCCTATGATGCATGTGTATGTGAAAAATGTGGTTTGTTAGCTACATCACCTAACTGGTGTCAGTATTGTCGAAGTAGCCGTCAAGTTGTTTCTGTCCGTATGCCGTATGCCTGCAAGCTGCTTTTCCAAGAACTGATGTGCATGAGGATTCTGCCGCGCCTTCGTTTAAGGACTGCTTATCATAGCAGTATAAACACTAAATCTAAGTGATTCATTTTGTATATTCAAATTAATTGTTGTTGATAACTCTGCTATATAATTCTTATGAATTTGTATAAAATCAGCTGTCACTATTTGAACATGTTTTACTTATATTTATCAATGCGTATTTCCATTTACTGCGAATCGATAGTGAGTACAACATAAGGGAACTGATTAAGAACCAATTAAGAAATTTTTAAACGGGTTAACAAGTCAAAGGTAAACGAAGAAAGACGTCCATATTCCTTGTATTTATCTATCTAAATACGCTTGTGTTTAAATACTTGATAAAAATGTAATGACTTTAGATAAATTCTTGTTATTCTCTTAAAAACATTTGATTTTCGTGTTTCCAGCCTTTCGATTCTCTCGCGTCTATCGGGATTCAAAGTGTATTCAGTTCTCTTTATTTTTCTTAGTTTTTGGTTGAAATTATTTATCTTACCTTAAAATAACATTTTTCATTAAGTAGTAGTATGGAAACTAATTTGATAGGGTACCTATCATATTTTGATGTATTTTTCAGTAGAATTACTATCATCATGATATTGACAAAACGTAAAAACCATTGACTTCCCAAACAAGGTTTGATGAGGTCGTAAATCTTCCTATTGCTCTCATGGCTGATCAACCTACTTTCCATACTAAAACCAGGTAAATAAAAATTTACTTACTTTCTAAATATGAGTCTTTAATCATGTATTTCCAAAATAATGACAAGTATCGGAGAGATGTAATGGTAATCTACACGGTCAAATGAAAATTAGCTTGACATCAGAATTACTGTCAGACATACATGTTTACCTTTCAAATAATAGAGTACAACTCAAATTTCTAGAGGGACAATAGTGATACTCGTTCTATGAACAAAACTAGGCGTTATCTCGTTATGGTCTTGCCTATGTTGGTAACAATAGCCACTAATCATCACGTGAGTGATAAAGCATATACATTCTACGACTTGCTATCAGTAAATGACAAAGTCAGTTTAGTGGTTAGGACTACCTTTTATTGTGACCAGGTACTTAATTACGCCTGTTACTCCTCGTGGGGGAGCATAGGCCACACGCTAGTACTCTACATCGGACCCTGTCCTGAGCAATCCTTTTCATATCTGCTTCCGATTTCCGACGTAGTGTGTTCTTCGACCTTTCTCTTCTCCATTTCCCTTCAGGATTGCAAGTTAGTGCTTGCCTTGTGATGGAGTTTAGTGATTTCCGCAATGTATGCCGCATCAACCTCCAAAGTCTTTTCCTAATTTCCTCTTCAGTTGGATGCTGGTTTGTCCTCACCCACAGAATGTTGTTGCTGATGGTATCCGGCCAATGGATGTTGAGTATCTTGCGTGGACAACCACTTATAAATAGTTTTACCTTCTTGATGGTAGTTGTTGTAGTTCTCCAAGTTTCAGCTCCGTACAGTAGAACTGCCTTGACGTTGGTATTGAAGATCCTCACTTTGATATTGGTTGAAAGTTGTTTTGAGTTCCATATGTTCTTCGATTGTAGGAATGCGGCCCTTGCTTTGCCAATCCTCGCCTTTACGTCTGCGTCCAATTCTCCACGTTCGTCGATGATGCTGACCAGATACGTGAAAGTTTCAACTTCTTGCAGAATTTCTCTATCAGGTGTGATTGGGTTGGTGTTCGTCGTGTTGTATTTAGGGATCTTGCATTTCCCCTTGTGTATGTTGAGGTCTACTGATGCAGAGGCTGCTGCTACACTAGTTGTTTTCACTTGCATTTGTTCATGTGTATGGGATAGAAGGTCCAGGTTATCTGTGTCTTTCATCCGGCTCAGCAACACTATGTTGAAAGCTTGGCCTGGTACTGACAGTAGTGTGATGTCGCTGTAGACTCCACATTTACTCAGATCTCCTTTCTTTGGTGTCCTTATGAGTTGTCCTTCTTTCAATTCCATCTGCACTTTTTCCAAATCTTCTTAAATAGAAGGTGAAGCATGTTTTCAGTTACTCCAATGTCTGACTTCCTGCTGCTTTCCCGCCCTTGGTTTATCTGATGGCCTTCCTGATTTCTTCGATCGTTGGTGGAGTGATATCTACAGGAAGGTCTATGTGTGCCGCTTCGCTGTCCAGTGGATTCAATGGAGCTAGTCTATTCAATAGTTACTCGAAGTATTAATAATTGCCAATGAGAACATATTGATATGTGGGAGAGCAAAATAACAATTGGATGTCACGCTAGTAGATAGTCTGACAGGTATTTGATGTGTTACATATATTTTCCTACCTTAAATTATATGATAATCAGTTGTTGAAATATATTCACATGCTGGTCAAGTCAGTCACCTGTTCTTGATCAGAGTTGTGTTGGTGTCCTGCGTAATAGACAGAGTATCTGACGCAAAGGAGAGAAACGAGCTTTATTTCACGTATCTTCCCCACTTTTTTATGGTTCTGATTAATAGGCTTAGTTGCTATTATCTATGGATGTTAAAATATAGAACGGGAGCCGCTGGGAATAAACTTCACGTGTTTAATTCATCAAACAGTATCTTGTTCCGTCATTGCGGTTATGTTATGTCTTCCTTTATCCTGTCGCTCAATTTTAGATGTTTCGAGATGCTTTCTACCATAGAATTTATTGACGCTATGTTGTTATTTTTTTTCCTTCAAAACTGACTGTCCTACACTTGACAGATCCTTAGTATGATGGTGTGATATCTTCATCGTCAGTCATTCACAACGTAGAACCTGTGCTTATGTACATCGGTTCAAGTTGCCATATCCCATTAACACAGAGAGATGAAGTCGTCAGGCCAAATCCCAGGGTAGTAGATGTATTAACAGTATCAGAGGTATTAGGAAAGATTAAGCATCGAGTATACGACTCGAAAAGTAAATATAAATTGACGGAATAAAAAAAGTTATGGACTTAGAATTTGGTGAGGAAACAAAGAATGGATGAACCCATACCCATAAAGGAGAACACAACAAACTGCTGCACAGCAAACTCACCCTTTAGTTGTTAAACGAATATCTCACTTATGCTACAAGTGACGCAAGTTGACAAAAGCTAATCGAGCCATCTGAATTTGTGCCGAGATTTCGTCACACTGTAGCATCAGTACTAATGAGACTTTTAATATAAGTGGAGCATCAATTTAGGCGATGACTCAAGCCAATCCTGAGGTAATATTATAAATTCGGAGGGAGAGGACCCCATTCCAAACATGCTTGCACTGTTACTTAAGGTGGTCAGTAGGCTACATTTTGTCAGCGTTTTCGCCAAACAGAACTAGATCACTTGTGTATCTTTAGTCAATAAGTGAATCTCCTGGTAGAAAATCAACTCCTGAAAAGTCAGACGAGTGTCATCTCTAAACACATGTCTATGACAAAGTTAAATAAAAGTGAAGAGAACGAACAACTTTGGCGAACACCACTTGAAATAACCAATGACAGTTCACCATAAACTCTGACTCCACCAGTGTTCTATTAGTGAGCCTGTACAAGAATAATGTTCTTCTCTGGTAGGCCTTTCGAAGACACACTGTTACGAAATCTCTCGATCAACAGAGTCGAACGCCGTCTTTTGGTCAAGGAGCACAATTATACTTTGACGTTGAAAAGTATGTCTATATCCCAGAATCTGCCGAAGGATGAATATTTAGTCTATACATCAACGTCCAGGTCTGCGACCGGCTTGGTTTTTTCGAGTTTGCTCTTCACAAGCTTTAGTTGGACCTCGAAGTATCATCATATTCAATATTATAGATACTATATTAGTTGAACTGATTCCCTTGTGATTGTCATAAGAGAATATTTGTCCTTCCTCATAAACTTGGACGATCAGCGACCGAGGCCAATCAAATGGGATTACGTCCAGTTTACAGACTATGGCTAAGATTTCAGTTAGTCTAACTTTTATAACTGGACTATCATCCATTTCATGAAAGACATCAAAAACAACATTTGACGAAACACGCCCTCGATCATAAATTACGATGGTGTAGATGATAATCCCAACTTCATTTTTAGCTGGTCACCAGGTACAAGGTTAAAATTGCCAATGAGGGTGAGGTTTACGCTCACCGACGAGAACTAGCGGTTCAAATGTAACTTATATTTGCCACTATGTATGCCGCAAAAAATTGCATTAAATAGGAATTCCCGAAACAGTTCAACTTAAGCCTAATAGAACTAGGTGAGTACAGATGAACGTATTGAATTTAGAATTCGAAATCAACCATCATGTTTTCATACAAACACCACAGAAATTCACCATAAAGTAGGCGCAGACGTCTCAATTTTTTTGTTCCGTTCTAGCTGCAGACAGGAATAGTGTTGCATCTGACATCTTATTCGTAGGCTGATTATTCACTCTTGTCATAAAAACCGGGTATTCAGGGCATATATGTAATAGTGTGGGATAGACATACTATCACATTAAAAACTAGTCAGTATAGTCCTATATCAACGTATCGATCCATTCCCTCACTGTTAGCTCTTGACTTTGAATGATCATATGCCGCATTCTCCTTACATGTTTGGAATTATACGGCACATAATGCCCAGTTTCATCCACGTAATTAACTGTTGAATCTTTGATAAATTGAGGTTACGGACACAAGCATGGGGCATAATCAGGCTGTTTCATATCTGAGACTTAGTTGAAATCCAAGGAGAAACTGACCGTATTTTTGCTACCTCATACACCAGAACACATCTTAAACCTCTTGGATGAACTATTTTAAATTCACAAGTGAACACCAATTCACTCGACAAATCCCCAAATCAGAACACAATTGGACAGGAAAGAAACCATATTCTAAATAACAAGGGTAGATGGTAGTAAAAAGCACAATAAGAGAAACGTCAGTGTATTTATAGTTTATACATGGGAAGATTCTAGAGATCTACGGGTAAAATTCATCAAATAAATAGGCCTTTAGTAGTTGACTGGTTAATGTAATTAGGAAACATTTATTTGTATTATCCAACTGAATTTAGGTAATGTTCGAAAGAAAGAACTATAGTGTGTGTAGGAGCATCATTCTGTTGTGAGAAGTGAAAATATACGCCCATTTCAGAATGGCATCGGTTAGGGAAACACTAGACAACTGTTTCATCCATGTTTTGGAACGAACACGGTATTATTCAGTCAGAGAGTAAGATTCAACATTGTATGGTGACCTTGATATATTTCTGACACCAAGTGAAGCTTGCGAACCAATTAAATAACTGTTTCGGAATTGGAATGAATCTATAAAACCCTGTTTTCTCAATAATGCTGGTTGGATACATGCTTTAATGTCGTTATTCCAGTGGGTTTGTGGTCCTTCAGAAACTTAGAGATCTGCGTAATTTATTTTCACGAAAGCGTCCACAATGTTTTGGCTGCACTTAGTAATATGGCACATACCAGTTGTGCATGATTATAGAGGTGGAAGATTCTTGAAAATGCTTCAACACTGATGCTAATCAAGCAGGTCAAAGACGCAGAATTAAAAATTCACTTTGGTTTTGGCACTCTATTGCCCTCCACCTCCTTGCTAGTTAGACTTAGTGTTAGCTTCTCTACTTCTGCACAGCATGATAAAAAGTTCTAAGCCAAATACCTGTTGGGTATATACAAGCTATGCGGTGTTGTAAAAAGCTCCATGTCGTTATGTTCTGCTATATTGAGTTCGGATATAATCAGTACTTGTGACATTATGACGAAAATATTCGCCAAAAAATACATAAATGTAATGGGGTAAGTAAAAATGTTTCCCGTGAAAATGCATGTTCCTTCTGTATTGGAAATTTATCATTATCTTATTCTTCACACCTTGTACATTAAAGATGATAAGAGTATGCCGAGCTTTTTCCCTTATTCCGGTGAACAAGTCAGCACGCATGAGAAATATTTCTAATTGATACAGCAATATGGTAACAAATAAGTTGCCATATGAACATTAAAAAAATGGTTAGAATAGGAACTTAAATTTTATTTTATGTACAAGATTGTTACAAATATTTATCATTATTAATTAAATCGCGCTACATTTTGATAGGCCCACAACCTTTCCCGCGACGTGTTCTTACACAAGCTGATAAATTTAGTCTGGCTTTACGTCTGTTTTGACACTTGAATGGTTCATCAGCAATATCTGTCGATGCATTCGGAACTAAACCACTACATTTGGAATGGAGGAAATTGTGCAGTTTAGCAGCAGATTCACTGGAAATTAACAATTTAAACAAATAGATCAAGTTGGAATTGGACACTACATGTATAAACTACTATTAAAACGGAAAATACTACGAAAATAATGTTGATTGTCAGCTCAAAATAAATTAAACGAACATGATTAAAACAAAGCATAATTGGGATTTAACATCAAATCATAATTAATCAGATCAACAATTACAAACATTCCTACCAAGTTGCACTGAGGAAGTCAGTTACAATGTAATAATTTTACGTAAACTAATTCTGCCACAAGTGAAAATTAAAGGTTATTTAACATGATATGACCGACTGAATTATGATACGATGATCATTATGTATTTCCACTGATAGTATACGAATCGACAATAAAGATAACTGCTGCTAACCGCAGAACCATATATCTCAATGAGTATAAATTAAAGCGTGAGCAGAAATATTTCTACTTCACTGACCAAGGTACCTGAAATGTTGATTCCCACCTTAGGCGCTCCCTATCATAATACAACGATATTTAGTCAGTCTAACAGAAAATCTTAGAATGCATCACAGGATATCACTCGTTTGGTTTTGAAGATACCAACATCTACGATAAAATTCAAATCTGATTTGTAGAAGAAACCAATTTGTTGAACAATAGAAACGAGTTTTTTGACGTCCGACATCAACCGCTTAGAGCAGAGCCTAGATAGAAAATACTCCATGCATCTGCGGAAGTTTTAAATATGCAGATGATTAGCTTAGTCTTAAATTTGTGAATATCTCTTAATATTCATCACATTCACCTGGCAGCTCTGCAGTTAACAATTTGACATCTTAAGTGGTTAACGCTGGAAATTTGTTATAGTTGAACATTAACGCTATCGTTACGCTGAGAAATGTAGTTTGTTATTAGTTGCAATCACAAAGTTGAAATTTTCAGAAAAGTTCTTATTAGTTGTGACTGAATGCCTGGCTATTAAAATTCTTAATTGGTGGTCTTGTAACTTTACGATAGTTGCTGATTCACATAAGTCAATACTGAATATAAGGAAGAATTAGGTAAAATATCTTTAAAGAATGTACACACAAGTGATGGGTGGTTATCATAAAGTAGAGTGATCGAAAACTATGAAGCTGAGGTGATAGCAGAAGGAAACCTTTACAAATCATGAAATATTGTAACAACTAGTTTAACCGTATTATTCTGTACTGTACAGTTGGAAATCGGCAATTTAATCAATGACATGCAGATCCTGAAGTAGCTCATAGTACTGGAATTCGTGTGACATAGCGGATATATTGCCAGTGCATTTTCAAGAATCATTACATTTTAGCTCAGTGAAGTTACTATCACGCTCATCTTTAAAGATAACTATAACATACATATGTCCATTGATGCGATACACAGTGGAGAATAGTTTGTTAGGATAATATTTGTTACTAATTTCCCACATAAAATAGTAGATATTGTGAAACTCTGATGACTTAGTGTTGTTATTTAAGATCACATAGACCACTGTTTAAGCTAGCTCTACCTTGTTCTGTACGGACATCAGAACTTTAAAAACACATTAGTTTTGCTGAATGTACCTTGTATAGCTTTGTCTTTTTCTGATCATTCCACCACATTTTTGTATCTTCGTTAGTTTTAAATCCTCATAATGTTATATACTAGTTGAGATGTATTTTGATGACGATCGTACACCACTTTTGAGAACAAAAAGGATTTGAAATTAATTATAACGGAACAAATAGTGTAAGAATTGGGACTGATTTATTATATTAATATTAGTTTTGTTGTATAGTCACTAGACAACTGGATTACTGTGTATTCTTATTCCATTTACTATAAGCTTTCAGTTAATACATTAATTACTCTTTTACGACTTAATATTCTTAAATTTGTTGCCAATTTATTACTTACAGTCTCCCCTATTCATAGTCACTTTTGTATAGCTACTATTTCTCTATTTTATGATGTGATGCGGTGTGGTATGTTTGTATCTAAACCATATCTGTTTAAAATACAAATATAGTGGAGGCTGGCTACTACTTTTGGTCTCAAAGTGGGGCGTGGAGAGAGGCTCGCAAATAATGGAGCAGTGGGGACTGTCGGCCCAAAAACAATAGCGCTAGTCGGGCATGTGATTGGTCAGTTCGAGGGCACTAGGATATTGAGGTAATAGTACACACTAGACCGAAATGGGATTAGGATTCTGATTGGTGACTTAACACATGGCATTACTCAGAGAGCCACATGAGATAACAAAATTGAAGCAATGAGTGAGTCTTCGTATGTTAGAAGTATTTTGAAAAAGCAGAATGTCAAAAACAGTAAACGGCCATACCTGCTATCCAAAATTTCTGCTAACCTTTCCATACTGCAGTTAACCAAATCGTATAAAGAAGAAACATGACTCATTATGCGCCGATAATTTTTCCATGATACACCTGGTAATTTTAATAGCATGTCAACAGCCTCAACATTATGATCCTCTAAATGATCACCATCCTGAAAGAGTAAACCATTGATTCGAACAGAGAAATAAGAAGCCATGACAAAAAACAAGATATTTTGAGTAAGTTATTTTATGAACCGATTGATGTTAAACCATTGAAAACTTGGAAGCCGTGGACGGCGGATTCGTCCTATTGTGGGACTTCTCAGCATTGCGCATCCACGGCCCCGCCCGCGGGATTCCAACCCAGGGCCTCCAGTCTCACGCGCGGACGCTTGAACTCTAGACCACTGAGCCGGCATCCAACGGTTCTAGTTCTAATGATAGGCCGTGACCAGTGGAGTTAATCCTGGTCGGATAGAGACAGGTATCCACCTACCTATCTATCTACAGTGGAAGATGGTCGCGCAATTTCATGGATTGGTTGAGGTTAGACATTAACACCGTTGGATGTCGGCTCAATGGTCTAGATGTCAAGCGTTCGCGCGCGAGACTAAAGGCCCTGAGTTCGACCCCGCGAGTGGGATCGTGGATGCGCACTGCTGAGAAGTCCAACAATAGAACGAAACGGCCACCTAGTGCTTCCAGGTTTTCAATAGTGGTCTAACATCAATCGGTTCACGATCTCCATCAAAAACTTAATGACCTCCACAACCCTGAAATGACGTTATGTTACGTCATTCAAAGCTTGTAAAACGTCAACATTCAGTTTTGTCCCTAGTTTATTTCACAGACCATAAGCTTTCGTTTGATATATGATTCACTGCCATAGCCTTTTCTGTTCCAAAGCTATTGTAATTTAAACGTAATCTTTTGTACTCTTTTTTCTACCCTAATCCTCAGTTTTGGACGTAATCGTATTTTTCTAAATGTTCGGGCGTTTTGGTCATGTTTGTCATCTATTCATGTATTTTTTTGCACTAACCTAAATCGGAATCGAGGATAAATCGAATAGTGTCCCAGTTGACTCGTCTTCTCGCTTGTGCGCACTTGTCGACCAATCAGGTGGTAGAACATTTTTCGTCTCTCTACCCAAGGCTGTTAGTCTCACTTCGAACTCACGCGATTCTAGCCTCAAGGTTGAGTCAGTCAGCTTATCATGTCAAAACCTTAATCTAGATTTAAACAAGTTGTCTCCTGTATATTAGTGGGTAAACTGATCAAGGAGTTAACAAACATAGATGCGATAAAAACATACTAGACACTAATAATTGCTACAAAAAGCAATGTTTATCCTTATGGATCTAAATTTTCAAAGTACGTTAAAAGTATCAGTAACTCTGGAAAAAAGCTCATACCTGAGGAAGTTTTTCAACACTTGGTTCTGGTCGACCAAGTTTAATCTCCGCAAACAATTCTGCAGTACAATAGGGAGTCATGCTCCAAAATATTCGTAGATTAGGAAAGTGGATAGTGAGCAAAACAAGTTTAGATAAAAGATGATGGGAATTAAATTCTGAACTAGGGTTAATTGCATGTCGCCCAGTGTACAAGGTAAAACCAACTGCTTCACTTCCATGAAAACCTCTTGTACTCCCATGATTTAAACTAGAAACTATGTTAGAACGGAAAAGGAATATAAAAAGTGATTGTTTGTTGATAAAAATAAGAGAATAATATAGGTTCAACCAAGTACTTACAGGGAACAGATTGTAAGTTGCATATTTTTATGACGGTTAACGACACAAACGAGTTCGTCATCTCGAAGTAAGTGGTGGATCTGAATTTCTTAGACTAAACAATTTGAAATTATCATCATACATAGTAGTATCTAAGACGCATTGTGGTTTATTATATTATACAACCAGGTTATATATTGCAAACAAGATTAATGTACAGAAGTTTAAGAAGTTGGATAGTTCTTACCAGATGCTATACAATTTACATATATTCAAAAACATATACAGGAATAACTAGGAGTTAAAATGCTCAGTTTTAGAAGCATGTTTGGAAATAGAAAAAGATTTTTACCAATGAAATTCCCAAACATTGGAAAGATCTAGGATATCGAATAGACAGCTCTCAATTACTCAGACTAATCTGTGACTGTAAAACACTGATTCTGTTGATGTTTTCAGAAGTGGAGTTTGAGCTCCCGACTAAACTTTAGTCTGTGTAACCAGGTGATACAACAGGTTCTCATATGCTAAGCGTAATACATAATCTAATCAGTAACCACGTACTCAGTTATTCTGCTGTATTATTATTAAAAGTTGTGAACAAATGATGATTACCTTTATTATGTATAGAAAATTCAATTAGGAGAACTGGACTTGCATAATGACGTGACATTGCAGTAGCTTGATGATATAGTCGTCCAGAGTTAAGAGAACCAATGAGATCACTAACAGATTTTCTTTCAACACATAAATGCGGAGCAAGAATATAATCTGCAATACTTAAAGTCATAGGTTCTACCTATATATATATATATATATATATATATATATATATATATATATATATATATATAAGCAAACAAATAGGATTAATTAATTTCATTAAAAAAGAACAAATTATGTATGAACAGAAATTAAAGTTAAATCAATGAATATGAGTGTCGAAACTGATACTTCATGATAGTTCTAGTTTAATGGTGAACAATCATCTCATAGAAAACATTTCTTGAAAATAAACAATTCGACTGCATTTGGAATCGAATTTTTTAAAACAATAAAAAATTTCGTAACAGGATAATAATGTCCTGTTAACAGCAAAGATTATGAGAAAATCATAAGGCACTTTCAAAATTATTTTTAACGACTGGTTAAAAGTTTAACGAAAGCTCAATTCTTATGTATTATAAAACACACCACAAAGTTTGTCTACAAAATAATTTTCTGAGTCCATGTAATTTAAGTATTTTTGATGTCTCCTTACTTTTCATAGATAATAAGCTCAGACGGAAAAATCCATACAAAGCATTCTTCTATATCTTAGAAATTTGGTACTTAGAGGTTATGTGTATATCGTTATCGTTTTATGTTATATCTTTCACTGTGACTGACAAATTATGCGAAAATGATCGTATATAACGGAGTGAAACTGTTAACTCATTCCAAATAATTCTGGAGTTTCTGATTTTATTAATGAATAGCCAGTTTCTTCGTCAATCAAATTCTAACACTTTCAGTGAATATTTCATACTGATTTACATATATAAACCCCTTCCACGTCAATCAGAAGTTAACAACTCTGAATTCGTAAATATTTAGCTGTAAGCTTACATATAAACACTTGATTTCTGAATACTCCAGTATTCAGTGATGACGATTGGCTAATGTGACCTACTAAGAACTTCAGCTAGTGATGGTGACTTTTATAACATTAGAACATTTACTATCACAGACACAAACTTAGTAAGCAACACGAGTTAATCACCCAAATGCTGAGCTGTAAGTATTTTTCACCAATTTACATCCTGTTTAAGTAAAACAACTATCCAATATTATTAACAGAACTATACGTACAAATAAAGTGTGAAAGTAGATTTCTTACTTTTAATCCTTTTCTGTGTAAAAGTGCTGGTAGCTCACTACGAAATTCACGCATATCTACAATTACACGAGACACTGCTTGATTATCATCTGGGTTTAATTTTCCATATGGTATTGTTGTATCTTTTGGTATAACAATAGTGCTACTTAGCTGAATAAGAGATTCAAATGCTTCTTTTTCCTTTGGAAGAGAAAACAGATTATACATACAGTTTACTTTCCTGTTGTTCAATAAATCAGGTAACGATTTTGATGCACATAAAAGAGGTCTGAAATAAGCTATTAATGACTATAGAATAGAATACTAAAGGCAGTCGACCATAATAAATTGACCTTCGAGTAACAAAAATTCGACTAACAACATCCAAGAAAACAGCCAAGCTGAACACATTGTAGTAACAACACTAACGAATATTACTCGAAGTTCGAAAATAAGATGTTTAAATTGAAATAACAGAATATTTCTGGTATTTGCCTACTTGAAATGAGGCGGAACTGCATTAAATAGACAACCTAGTGGATAGGTGAGAATAGGAAAAAAGTGAAAGACGACCTTGAACGCTACAGTTCCAACATTAAGATGCGTCTGAAACCTAAATGTGGACGTGACAGCAGCGCTCAAAATTTATGTCTGCTATAACAGGCCGTGGGGAAAAGTACGGATAAAAATATATGTATGACAGCGGGTGAGATAATGCAGTTAGTCAGATTAACAGATAATAGAAGTGACACCTTCAGACATTTCAACACGTACTTTTCGGCTAGAGGGATACATGCTATAGAATACATTAAGGGAAATTGTTTCGGAAGTGTTAGAAAAACTAGTTAATTTTACTAGTGATCTTGTCCTTTTTTGCACTGATCTACTTTACCATAATATTTCCTTATCTATAATATTTACATAACCATTTGTGACTATGTTAATTATTTTTGTCGAGGTATTACAAAATTTGTAATGAAAACATCCCCATTAATTACCGTGAACAGTAAATCAAAGTTCTCTTAGTTTGAGGCTTTCGACCATATTCATGTTCAATGTTATTTCTCAGGTCACCCACACATTTGTTATACAAAAAGAACAACGTAGGGAATCTTAAATTTACGTGTTAATCGCTGTAGCTTCACAACTAGTTATGCTACACAGTCGAGTCCGTAAAAAGAATTGTTTGGTATTACATGCTTTTACCTAAAATGAAACCACACCGTATATTTAAAAAGTCCACTCTGAAGAGTAATTACTGATATTTTGCACAACTAAGTTATAAAAATGATAAATGAGCTGAAAATCAACGTACTTTACGTAAACTTGTTAAATATCGTTGTTCTTCAACGGAATTTTCATACAGTACAAAATATATTTTTAATGAAGGTAATGAATTATTAAGCCCTCTGATGTTACTTGAAGAGTCACTTTTTGAGAAATGTTGAATTAGAAGACGTGCATTGTACACTTCTAATTCTCTGACCCATGATAATTTGGGCTCATATAATATCACATAATTAGGTTGAAGTACATCTAAAATATATGATAATCGATAACCATATTGTTGTACAAATAAATCGGACTCATCTTGGTGATCTTTTGCTGACCCATAAAACTGACTATTTTCATCACCTGAAAATGTTGGTGTTACACGTATAATAATTTTAAGTGAATTAGACATCTTTATATTGGATGAAATTAATAAACTAGGATGAATGCTAACTTCATGACATCCTAAAGGCAAACGATTATTACTGTTAGTGATTTTTTCAGTATTATCCATTTTACAATTTTCCTCTGATGAGGATGAAGTGTCATCATTATCTCCACACAATTCATCAAATTTATATTTTTTGCAGATTTGTGTTAGAGTAGTTACGGATGATTCTCCAGAAGATTTCGGATTCATTAATTTGGCAGACTATTTTTCGTTTTTTTTTTACAAAGAAAAACAAAAAGAGAAATTTAGCGAACAAGAAAATTAGAATGATAATTTGGAGGGAAATAAAACTACCACGAAACAAAATACTAGTAGTTGTGTATACTGGCCGAATAAATATATATTTCGTTGAAATCATGAACCGATCAATGGTGGTCCACCATGATTTCAGCGGAACTCAACAATCTCCACAATTCTATACTGAAAATTAACGTTTGATCGTGAAATTCACCAATTCAAGCCCGAACTCTGAATGCGAAAACGATGCGTTCAACCTCTTATACTTCCTTGTTCGTAACTCTCTTCTGCAGTATGTTTTGGCCTTGTTTTGTTTTTATTATTGTTTTGTAATTTCGAACCGTAATCAGTCATTATTATCCTTTAACAACTTTTTCATGATTATTGTCCTATTATTATTACGACCTTTATGTTTTTCATTCTTCATCATATCTGTCAAATGGACAATTATCGTTCATAATTCTGACCCGTAAATTATGTTCATTCTCCTATTTCCCTCTAACCCATTGATTATTATGCAATCTCACTTGATACTTGAAATCTCGAATCACCTCACGATGAGATCTTTTCCATCTTTTTACAGACATATTCACCGAACAACTACAAATGTACAGCTTAAGTAACTGATTTCGTCGAATTGTCCCTGGTTTCTCTTTATTTTTATTCAACAACAAAATCATTTAACTGAGATGCAAACGTCAATTACATACATAATTTTATTTCATACTGTATACATTACCTTCTGTAGTATTATATGCGACTGTAATTCAGGTAAATCTGAAGTTTGAACAAGAAACTTCTTAATAGATTGTATTCCACGTTGTAAATAACGTTCAAGATACCTTGCTGTATTTTCACGACTGACAAGAATTAATATGGTATTACTTAATGTTTGATCAGTTGTGTTGGTATAGATTTCTTTTAGTAGTTCAACAAGTGCTTTCCATTTAGGACTAATCTCAACATTTAATAATTCTATAAAAGTATAAGTCGAAAGAATAAAAATTACAAAACAATAAATCCTATGATAATTTTTGTTGATAAAAAAACAAGTGATTATTTTACTTACTTTGAGTGAACTACAAATTAATAGCTCCTATATAGGATGAACTATTGAAAAGTTAATGGGAAACTAGAGCTTTTTGGTTGAAATATCATAGCCGTTAAAATAATTTAGAATCAATTAATTGTGATATCAGCAACTACTATCAGTTTAAGATACTTAGATGATAATTACTTATGAAGAGGGAAGAAAACTAGAAATTCGGAAACAAACGGGGAGGTTACAAAAAACCACAATTAAAATATCAACAAGATATTAACCCTTTTATCCCATAGGTTTTCTGGATCGAATCAAATGGTAACACTTCATTTTAATACATTTCAAGGTGTAATCACATTTAAATCGTGTTATGTTGCTGAAGCTAACGTGCACTTATATGGTCTGGACTGAATAAGTAAGATGGGACTATATTTGCAGTTATTAAATAATATATACCTTCAAGTACAAAGGACTTTAATAGCAGACTTACCAAATCAAATTATAGAGTTTCCTGAAGTATATAAAGACGACTTGTGCTAATGAACAAAAATCCAAACTACTTAACGGTACCTGTGTTTCATTCGAAGCAGCTATCGCCTTATCTGCTACTTCCTGTAGCCAATCAAAATACTAAACTCACATAATCTCCTTGGATGCGGTAGCAACAAAGTAATCATTTTTATTTGTTTATTTAAAATACATAAATACTAGTACAAATGGGTACCAGAATGAAATTATCGTCAACGTCCAAACAGTCTGCGGAACCTTATAGAACTAATTCGGTAGAGACCAAGTAAGTTTACCTTCACACTAATAATATAACATAATTTAGAGATTGTTTCCGATTGATATGTAGTATCACAATTTAGTAATATCTTGAGGTGCGATACCCCATTGCAGTTTCATAACCTGACGCGTTTCGTGGAATGTTGCTCAGCTTACGTATTTTCACAGTTCGGTCGACACGACCATGATATATGTAATGTCTTATTTTTTATTTATTTTATTGGAACACATATATATTGGTACAAGCATGCGCCAAATATATATGCGCCACACAAAACAATGAGAATTTAAGGGGAAGGAGAAAAAAAGAGATTGATGTAAGGTGGTGTAACAATAATGATGGTAAAAATGGCGGAACAGATAGGTACAATCAGAAGAAAGCTTTCAGTTAAGGGAGACACAACCACTTTTTATGAAGAAAGTAAAAGGTTACAGCAGGATCGCCACTGGCTTCTATTCTGAGCCATATCTGATAACGTCTCTAGCCACTGTGTAACACCATCTCTCGGACCCCAGCCAGGGAGTCGTGAAGGACCAACACAAGCCAGTCCTTTGCAGCTTTCTTTCATGCCACGACACCATGTCATACACTGACCACCTCTCCGCTTTTTCCAACCAGTCCCAGAGTCGGCAAATAATGCACGACGTGGAATTCTCTGGGACGACATTCGGAAAACATGTCCAAGCCACCGAAGTCGGTGTTTCAAGATGGTGACACCAATTGGATTATCATCTCTGTGCCCGAACACACGATGCCGAACCTCTGCATTACTGACATGGTGTTGCCACTGGATGTCAGCAATCCTTCGGAGACAGCGATGATCGAACACAGAGAGTCGTCTAACGTCCTCAACTCGGAGAGGCCAGGTTTCACAAGCATAGAGCAAAACTGCTCTCACCGACGCGTTGTAGATCCGACCTTTTACAGCCAGACTAACATCACGAAGGCGCCAAAGATGGCCCAGATTGGCATAAGCCGCTCTGGCTTTCACTATATGTGCATTGATCTCATCAGTCAGCCACCACCAGCACTTATGCAGCTACCTAGATACACGAACTTCTCAACTACTTCTATCTGCTCACCATCCAGGGTGAGTACAGGATTAGAATCCTGCCAGTCTTGTAGAAGTACTTTGCACTTCGAAGGTGCAAAGCACATACCATACCTACGGACACTGATTGCCAACTGATTAAGTGCGGATTGCATGCCTTGGGCATTATCGCACAGTAAGACAATATCGTCCGCATACTCAAGGTCGAGAAGTCTTTCTCCAGGCAACAGATCCACACCGCCATTACTTACATTCATCAGAGCTGTTTCCAGAATGTCATCGATGGCAAAGTTGAAGAGGAATGGTGAGATTGGGCAACCCTGCCTAACCCCACTGCTTGAATGGAACAATGGAGAGAGGTGGTTGTATATGGGGCCTTTAGGATGTTAATAAACTTCTCAGGCACACCCTTCTTCAATAGACAATCCCAGAGAACAGTCCTATCCAACGAATCGAAGGCAGCCCTGATGTCAAGAAACACTACGATTGTTGGCCTTTGATAAGTATGGCGGTGTTCTAACATTTGGCGGAGGGTGAAGATATGATCAATACATCCTCGACCAGAACGAAAACCAGCCAACTCCTCGCGAGTCAATCTTTCTCGGGTTTTGAACAACCTGTGAGGTATGACGGAAGCCAATAGCTTGGACGCAATCGGAAGTAGACTTATCCCCCGATAGTTGTTACAGGAACGACGTGAACCCTTTTTAAAGATAGGGACAACTATCGACTCATTCCATGACGTTGGTACACTCTCTAGTTCCCAAACCTTTGTAAACAACGTCGTCAATTCCTTAGTCAAAAAGTCACCACCATCTTTAAAAAGAGCCGGAGGTAAGTCATCTGGGCCAGGTGATTTGTAACGCTTCAAGAGTTCCTTGCGGACTTCCTCCTCATTTGGTGGATCAGTCGTCACCGGCCATGGAGGGCAGGACAGTCTGACCGATGTTGCCGGAGCAGCAGGCCAGTTGAACTGCCCTTCGAAAAATTCTGCCCATCGTCCAAGACGTCGATGGATGTTAGTGATTGGCATCCCATCATCCTCGCAGATTGTTTCACTCACACCAGACTTCTTGCTGCCAGTGGCTCGGATGAGCTGGAAGAGCTTCCGGTAGTTACCAGATGCAGCTGCTGCTTCCAGCTCATTAGCACGCATCGACCACCAGGCTTCTCGGTCCTTACGCAAGCTTTGCCCAATTTCCTTACGTAACATCCTTCGTTTATGGTCAAACTCACGGTCACCCGGAGTAGACCGACGGGCTTCAATGAGTTGTAAGGAACCAGAAGAAACCCAGTGCTTAAAAGCGGGACGTTTCGCAAACCCACAACTGACTGTTCCCGCCATTTTCATGGCGTCATGCAATTGCAACCAATGCTCATCTATACTTTTCGGTGGAGTGGTAGCTAGCCTAGAGGCTAGCTCGGTTCGATACTTACTTGCAACAGAAGTTGCAACCAGCTTGCTAACATCAATCCGTTGATGGCGGTCACCTCGTTGGCGCAGACCAAGGCATGGTCAGAGTCCAGATAGGTACTCCAAAAGGAGCGGCAGTCTTGTACACAACCACGCCAGCGGTAGCTGATCGCGATGTGATCAATCTGAGTCCAGGCTTGAGATGCAGAGGGAGGACGCCAGGTGGCACATCGGCGATGACTGTGCCGAAAGTTAGTGCTAGCCAGAAACAGGTTGTGGTCTGTGCAAAGTTGCAGTAGACGGTCCCCGTTATCTGACCTGCGACCAACGAGTCCCCATCGGCCACCTAAACGACTCTCTTCTGTGCCTAGACGCCCGACCTGAGCATTCAAGTCTCCGGCTAGTACTACAATATCTGTCGAACGCACTTTCTGGAGAACAGTTAATAACTGGTGGTAAAACTCATCCTTGATTGCATCCGGGCTGCAATCTGTCGGGGCATAGGCGGAGATGACGAAAAGACATCGTTTCTCACGCCGATTTCTTCTCACTTTGATGGAACTTTCTAATCTAACAGCACATAACCGACTGTTAATGGGGATCCAATCGACTAGTGCTGCCTCAGCTCTAGCGCTTAGTGCGACACCAACGCCAGCAAGACCAGACGAAGATGCCACAGGGTCCCCGGATAAGCGCACGTAAAACAAGCTTTTCGAAGCGACAGATGGAGATCGAATTTGTAGTACTTCGCCAGAGTCTTGAATACGGGTCTCGGATAGACAACAACGTCGATATTAAGACTTTCCAAAGACATAGCCAGCCCTATCTGTTGTCCGACCTGCATAAGTGTGCGAACGTTGAAGGCAGCCAGTTTGAATGGTGCACGTGGTTTCATAAAAACTGCTTCAGTACTCGTATTCGGTGGTAACATACAATTTTCAACCGGACAGTGACTCGAGAACGTTTAGATCCAGTCGAATTTCCACCAAAGACGAGCTGATGTATAAACCGAAAAAATAAGTATAGACGGAGTAGGAATAAAAGAGGGTGAATAATGATGTAGTAAATAATAATATAATAATAAATAATAATAATAATAATAATAATAATAATAATTTGGATCATCTGACTGTTATTCGGAGCGAGAAATGTCGTTTCCATAGATATAGAGTAAGTAATACATCCACCAGCTGCTAGCGATAAATTTATACCCCTAGCGGATCCTTGAATTAGTGTCACGCTTGGATTGGGGGGGTCTTCGCCTCACAGTAAATTTGGTTATGTTGCAACGTTATTCAAAGTAATCATTTCTGCGTCCGACTTCGCTGCATTATTGATTGCAATGTTGTTTTTGAAATGACAAAAGTGGTAAAAATGCTATCCACTGCAATATTGGCATATTAATGGGGGCTGTTTTGTGTTGTTGGTTCGGGAGGATTGGCTAGGTGAATGATTTGAAGCTAAAACTATATGTACTGAACTGAGTTTTCCCGGGTGCTGAAAGATTTCCTCGTCACTTTTAAAGTTTATAAGTCGTTGACATACTTCAGTAACTGTGCGGTGTTATCTGGGAGTCCTGTTCAATCTTACTCAATAGATGCATGTCAATATCCGCATCTTTAGGGTATTGGAGTTCACGGATAAAATTAGGCACTTGGATTGGTCATCCATAAAAGATAGTAATTTAAAGTACTCACTTTATAGATTAGCAATGCCTTCATACGTAACGAAGTCATTAGTTTTTCGCTTTGTATTTTATGGATTGATACCATGTCTTAAATAGTGAACACTGGTCTCAAACATTTGGAATAATGTCCTTGAAATTACGACCACGTAGTTGATATGGTAATATGAAATGAGTACCTTCCTGTTAAGTGATACCCAGTTTGCATGGAAATAGCGACGATTTTCGTGTGGCACCTTGATGAGCAAACTCAAAGTAAAACAAATTTCCATAATGCTTGGATCAAGAATCAAAAAGAGCATTAGCAGTAAGATCAAAGAAAACTTCGTTATATTACAGGGAATTCATCTCGCTGATGATGAGTTTCAGGATGTAGTAGGAAGGATTTAATGTTGTTGTACGTAATCACTCCGTTACAGCTTCATTAGTTTCATGTACCATTAAAAAGCCAACTTCACATCTAGATAAGTTGTCACTGCGTCATAAATACCTATCGCGGATGCTATGACTCGGTTACTAGCTACGTGGATCGAAATATCAACATAGTAATGAACCCAACGTAAATGCTTCTTGAAGTACACTTCAACCAAACTCGTACTAAGCCTCCGAATGACTCTTGATTAAGTTCCAAACGATTTACAGCATGAAAGAAAAACAAAAGTTTTGTTCACCGATGGTGACGGGAAAATTAGTTGGGATTGATAGAATTTTTTATTATGTGTTTAGAATCAGCACCTGATTTAAACGTACGCGAGCGGTTTGAGAATTTAATAATTGTTACTGATAGGACATCAATTTATTGGTCGATTGTGAGTGAATTTTCAGGAAACGATCCATCTCCTAACAATGACTCGTGAACGGAATGGTATCTAGGCTCAATATGGAAGGATTCACTGTAGTGCATTTTAAGGATACAATATTTTCACGCGTCCACAAACATAAATTTTACTTCGGAAACCAAACATCCACAAGAAGTATTTGATGACAAACTGACCAAATATATGATGAATTTTGCGTTGTAGATATGATCTAACGAACAGAATATTTTTTAGGATACTGCAAATTAAAAGACGATTGAGTTTTTAACACTTAATCAAACGGTCGGATTACATACTGTTGGCTTCCATTGGTTTGTTAATAAAATACACTGTTAGTTATGTCATAATATTTAATCACTTATATCTATTATTTATTTTACCTTATACGTTGCTGAATAAGTGACAACGAAATTCTCAATGAATTCACTGTTTTCTATCGAATTTGTTATTCTCGCTTAACAGAAATGAAATTATAGTATTTCAATGAGATAAATAAAGGTCGAGCCATGAAAAGGAATTTGAAACACCAACTAATAAAGATCAATTTAGATAATATATAAACTCCTGGAATTTCCCATTACGATTTCTCACTTTAAACGCTGAAAATTTAACTGAATATTTATTGACGAATATCTCAGCTCACTGATATTACTCCACAAACTCTATCAGCCAGGATTACTGAAAAGATTTTTGACACACAACTATGTAACCATACTATCAAGCTAACTGTGAACAAGTTATTTCGAAATTAAATAATTACGAATTGTTTGAATCCCTGAAAACTCTTAGATGAATATGAAAATGAATAGTTGACAAAGCATAAAATGCTGTTAACGAAAGTACTTACAGTAGTTTAAAAAAATGTAGGAACATACTTTTGCTGTAATCAGCATATACACGAGACCTTGCAGACGCCAAAAGACGATCAGCTTGATCCATCAAAAACCAACTAGGACAACCTCTTGAAGCAGCCCTTTTTGAATTTATTTCACTCTTTTGAGTTACGCCTAACTTGCTAAAGCGGCTTGACGTAAACCTTCCATATTGGTTAAAAAGTTGACAGCATCTCCTTCGATCAATAAGTGGAGTAAACGCCTCAAGCTTGAAATATCTCCGACAAGACGTCGACTGACTGAACTGAGCTGATTCCATAGAGGGTCAACGTATAACGAGACCTTATTTAATTGGATAAAAGATTGAAATGTGAGTAGTTGATATTTCGTTCGAAAAAAGAATTTTTAATCACAGAAATACATGTTGAAAATGAAGCTGTAACAATGAAACGACAAGGCTTTGTAAGCTTATATTACCGGAAATCACATTTACTAACTGATCAACTTTCGCCTCTCAGCATTACTGAACCCATGACACAAAGGCTCTCTCGTGGAACAGATATATGTAATCTTACACGCTGTGGTAGAGTCGCAAGCTTCTGGCTTTACTTTCGCGTTTCTCATTTATTTGCCCACTCTTTGGCTTCAGCTGATCTAGTGGTAATCGGCTTCAATCTTATTACCACTATGAAAAAGTCGGCTTGACTGTTAACGTGTCAATTTTACAAGGTGGATAAATAACCTTAGTCGAATAAAGAGAACTTGTGTCTTTATACTATTGTTAGATCAAGATTAGTTATTAAAATAATTTAGTTATACATGACAATAAGTAAAGACGCACTAATAGACAGAGTCGCGAAAAAACATTACGAAACAATGCACGGCAGTAGATGCATGACCACACAAAAAAGTGATATTACAGTACCCAGAGGTCGACCTACTGGCAAACAATATTCCACCCATATCAATTTAACAGTCAGGAAGTCCTCAGCTCTTTATCACTTTGAGAACACATTACTCTTATTTTAATATTTTATTAACATAAGTATGAATATTGTATAAAAATGAAACTGGTCTGAGGCATTTTAGTTGCGAGACACTTAAGTCAGGTGAAACCACTTATTACTGGTTGGGTTTAAATGCTCTAACTCGATATTTCCCAAGTACACTAGCAATTTCACGGATACATGAATTATCATCACGTCATTACCACCTCAGGTCTTAAACTCAATTCATCTCAAAAATATATGGTATACACCATTCTCGATATATTTCCTATATCCAACAAATTTCTAGTAAGGTTCATTTAGACATTTTTACATCCATAATGAGATATAATTAATGGTTTACAATTTAGACATAACGTAATTAACGTGTTATATAAGATTCTCAATTCACCAGCCCACTTAATTTTTTGGTCAGATATTCGAAAAGTATCTACTAGTCCTCTAGAGTCACTTTTGGTTTTAAAAATGACAATTTATTTGAAATATCCACGAAATGTTGACTGCAGACTTTTAAAGACAATACTTTAAGATACGTTGAAAGGTATGAACAACTTACAAGACTGTCGAAATTCGGTAACAGAGCTTTTTCTAAGGTAAGATCGTCCGTATTTAGTGTTGGATTTTGATCGCATAATTCTTTCAATGAGGCCTTCATAAGGTCAAGTATACACGACTGACAAATAATCATTTCTGAAGTCAACTTTACCTGAAAAAACAAAAATTATGTAAGATAATTAACTACTAAATTTCTAAAGATGTTGAAATATGTATAAATGCAAGATCAATCCAATTTAGGATCTTTTGAGTGTAAGTTTATCAACGACCAAACCACAAAGATAAGATCGAGATGCACAAATGTATTCATCCAACAAATATAATCGCTAGTGGGTATGTGTCTTCATTCCAAAATGTAATAGCAATAGTTATAGTATAAAAAATCTTACGCGAACTTCTTCCACATCAGGTTGGCTTTCATTTAGACAAGAAACAACCTGCATATTGAATCTTGGCCAAAGAACAAGCTTTGAAATACCAAGCTGCAACATAATCCTTTCTGCATGATTGTAACCAGAAGTCAAAGACAATGAATTATCACTGAAAGCCTTGATAAACAACTGCGGATTGCGTTCTCTGAGAAGCTGAATAGCGAAACTATCTTGACAAGCCTCGTGTAGCTCATGTGCCCGAAGAATTAAGACACCGGAAACCAAAGTGGCAGGCATTCTTTCCATCAGTAAGTCCACAACTAATATGCGAGAACTGACAAATACCACACCACCTCGCTTGTAAATTGCCTCACGTTCCTTATTATTTACCTCGGCAGTAATTATTCCAGGAGAGTGGATTATTCCATTCTTTTCCAGTATACCTGTTAGAAAACGAGCTTCTGGGAGACGATAGTTCGAAACAAGCACTAAGTTGTGAGGATCTGAATGTAACCTTAGTGTGTTATAAATAATTGTATCCATTCCCAGACCATCAGCAAGCACCAGCAATGAACTTTCGTGGTGAATGTCGACAAGAATAGAAGCCTCGTACTCAAGCAGTTCATACATTTATGACTAAAATAAAATAAAAATAGGTTATTGGAACAAGAATAATTTACGAAAGTTTCACTATATATATATATATATATATATATATATATATATATATATATAAACCAGTGTGTAACCCTAATTAGTTCTAAATAGCTAGTACAAGTATCAGCATAGGATAGAAACATTAACAAGAAAACCAGAAAAAGTAAACGTACGAGTAATAACAAACTAAGAGAGAAACGCAGAAAAGAAAGATCTCAGCAAGGAATAGAAGGCAACGAATTGACAAACACTTAATATTCACAGGAAGGAAGTTGACTCCATATCAAATATGACATCTAGTCTTGAACTACCTAACACGATTTTCTGGAAAAATGTACTTAGACATCAGCTTTATTTATTACTTGGACTAATATACATTTCTCACAGAATGATTTTTTATGCTGATCTGGTTATTTTTATTTGTTCTTCAAATCTAACCATCACAGTTCAGAGTAGACGGGTGACCCGAGATCTTAATTATTTGACCGAGTAACGTAAGCAGGTACAAACGTTCAGGGTTCGGCCCATGGGGTAGTAGTAACCAATAGTTGAAGACCCAAAATGACGTGCTTTGGAATCAACTGGAGGATTGCAAATCCTTTTACTTCTTATTTGCCTCAGAAGCAGAAAGATTTTAATACTCGTTATTTAATTTCACTTTGCGGCCTACATTCTCTTTACCTTCTTAAAAATAGTTTCACTTTGCAAACTTTTTCTGTGGCGTCACAAATTGAGTCTATTAATACCTAAATCCTTTTATTTTAATAAATACTACCTGCAGTTGTTCGTTCTACTCTTATGTTTTAAACTTCGAATGGTTAAGGAAATGAGCAGACGAAATAAAAATTGGACACATTTGTTTGATAATTATCCCTTGCATATACTTTCTACTTCTATCAATAGACTCACTTCTTACAACAAACTGCTTAGGCGCCTTTCATTGTTTTCCAGTTTCTGGACAAAACTTTAACAGTGTAAATACTGATAATCAAAGTAGGTACAGGACTTGAAACAGGAGTTTCAATAATCTATTTCACCACAATATTGATTTCGTGTTTTCTTATACTTTATTTATTTATTTGAAAACACACATATTCGTACAGGGGGGCACCAGACACATATGCACCACACAAAAATAAAGAGAATGGGAAGAGAAAAAGAATGTAAGTTGCGTATAACAAAAAGAACAATAACGACCACAAATTAGTGTGGTAGTGAAATAATAATGATGGGGGAAACAGAAAAGTAAAATCAGAAAGAACTCTTTCAGTTACAGTCACCTTTTATGAAGTAAAAAAAGGTTACAGCAGGATCGCCACTGGCTTCTATTCTGAGCCATATCTGATAACGTCTCTAGCCACTGTGTCACACCATCTCTCGGACCCCAGCCAGGGAATCGTGAAGGACCAACACAAGCCAGTCCTTTGCAGCTTTCTTTCATCCCACGAAACCATGTCATACACTGACCACCTCTCCGCTTTTTCCAACCAGTCCCAGAGTCGGCAAACAATGCACGACGTGGAATTCTCTGGGACGACATTCGTAAAACATGTCCAAGACACCAAAGTCGGTGTTTCAAGATGGTAACATCAATTGGATTATCGTCTCTGCACCCAAACACACGATGCCGAACCCCTGCATTTCTAACATGGTGTTAACACTGGATGTCAGCAATCCTTCGGAGACAACGATGATCGAACACAGAGAGTCGTCTAACATCCTCAACTCGGAGAGGCCAGGTTTCACAAGCATAGAGCAAAACTGCTCTCACCGACGCGTTGTAGATCCGACCTTTTACAGCCAGACTAACATCACGAAGACGCCAAAGATGGCCCAGATTGGCATAAGCCGCTCTGGCTTTCACTATATGTGCATTGATCTCATCAGTCAGGCCACCACCAACACTTATGCAGCTACCTAGATACACGAACTTCTCAACTACTTCTATCTGCTCACCATCCAGGGTGAGTACAGGATTAGAATCCTGCCAGTCTTGTAGAAGTACTTTGCAGTTCGAAGGTGCAAAGCACATACCGTACCTACGGACACTGATTGCCAACTGATTAAGTGCGGATTGCATGTCTTGGGCATTTTCGCACAGTAAGACAATATCATCCGCATACTCAAGGTCGAGAAGTCTTTCTCCAGGCAACAGATCCACACCGCCATTACTTACATCCATCAGAGTTGTTTCCAGAATGTCATCGATGGTAAAGTTGGAGAGGAATGGTAAGATTGGGCAACCCTGTCTAACCCCACTGCTTGAATGGGACAATGGAGAAAGGTGGTTGTATGCCCTCACTCTGCCTGAGGTGTTTTTATATAGGGCTTTTAGGATGTTAACAAACTTCTCAGGCACACCCTTCTTCACTAGACAATCCCTGAGAACAGTCCTATCCAACGAATCGAAGGCAGCCCTGATGTCAAAGAACACTACGATTGTTGGCCTTTGATAAGTATGACAGTGCTCTAACATTTGGTGGAGGGTGAAGATGTGATCAATACATCCTCGACCGGAACGAAAACCAGCCAACTCCTCTCGAGTCAATAATTCTCGGGTTTTGAACAACCTGCGAAGTATGACAGAAGCTAATAGTTTGGACGCAATCGGAAGTAGACTTATACCTCGATAGTCATTGCGTAACATCCTTCGTTTGTGGTCAAACTCACGGTCACCAGGAGTAGACCGATTGGATTCGCTAAATTATAAAAGCCTGAAGAAACCCAGTGCTTATAAGCGGGAAGTTTCGCGAAGCCGCAAGGGGTTTTACCCGCCATTTTCATAGCATCATGAAGTTGCAACCAATGATCATCTATACTTTTTGGTGGGATGGTAGCTAGCCTAGAAGCTAGCTCGATTCGATACTTACTTGCAACAGAAGTTGCGACCAACTTGCCGACATCAGTCCGTTTAGGACGATGAATTCGTTGGCCACTGAGAAGTAAAGTAAGATTGGCGCAAACAAGGACATGATCACAGCTCATATAAGTACTCCAAAAGGAGCGGCAGTCTTCTGCACAACCACGCCAGCGTTAGCTGATCGCGATGTGATCAATCCGAATCCAGGCTTGAGATGCAGAGGGAGGACGCCAGGTGGCACGTCAGTGATGGCTGCGCAGGAAGTTAATGCTAACCAGAAACAGGTTGTGGTCTGTGCACAGTTGCAGTAGACGGTCCCCGTTATCTGTCCTGCGACCAACAAGTCCCCATCGACCATCTAAACGAATCTCTTCTGTGCCTAGACGCCCGATCTGAGCATTCAAGTCTCCAGCTGGTAATACAATATTTGTAGGACGCACTTTCTGGCGAAGAACAGTTAAGTGGAGGTAAAACTCATCCTTGATCACATCTGGGCTGCAATCTGTCGGAGCATATGTGGAGATGACGAAGAGACGTCGTTTCTCACGCCGATTTCTTCTCACTTTGATGGAACTTTCTAATCTAACAGCACATAACCGACTGTTAACGGTATCCAACCGATTGGTGCTGCCTCAGCTCTAGCGCTTAGTGCGACACCAACGCCAGCAAAACTGGACGAAGAGGCCACAGGGTTCACGGATAGACGCACATAAAACGAGCCTTTTGAGACGACAGATGGAGAGCGAATTTGTAGTACTTCACCAGAGTCTTGAATAAGGGGCTCGGATAGACAGCAGACGCTGATATTAAGACTTTCTGAAGAACCCTGTGTCCACCGATGCGGTTAAGGTGTCGAACATTCACCATTCATTCTCTCAATTTCCTAAACAACACCCCCACCGCAAAACAGACAGTGAGTAGGACTTTCCTGGCAGAAGCTATATAGATTGGCATAGATTGGCAACTAGGGTACGTTAAGGAAAAAAAGTCTAACCTCATCCAACTTCATGATTACCGCCGAATTCTGCGAACTCAACACTGTTAAAATAGTCGATATAAACAGAGTACATAAAACTATTACCTGTAAGTGTTGTATTCTTTGCACGCGCTTCGTTGTAAAAAATCACATTAGCGATTGTTAGTTTGATTTATTCATTTTTCCCATGTTCTTTTCAATGGACTATAGGACTGTTAGGACTGAGAATATTATATTACCAGTAGTTTAGTTAATCTCAGTCAGAGTAACGGGATATGAAGAATATCTGATTAGGTGTTAATGAAAAGTGAGGCAGGATTGAAATGATAATTAAGACAAATACGTAAGTGGGGAGATATGAAGTAATATCAACACATGTAACATTGGGTGGGGGAGGGTGGTCACTCCAACTTTATCCTACTCTGTGACTTCACTAGTCATCCCACCTGGCTGAGGGAAGTTCGTGTGCTTTTGTATGCTCATCTAATATTTGCTTGCAACGGTCCATCGAAAAGGCTATAGGTAAGATGGTTATGAGGACGTTTCATGTAGAACAGATACATGATGCATAAACTGGGTGTTACTTTGGTATTTTCCTATTAGTGGACAACCCTGTTAGGATTTTCAAGTGCGTCACTATGATGACGCTCTGGTAAGATTACCTTACTGTAATGGTCGGAGCAGGTTGTGATGTCACCCTTCTGTCTTCTGTAGGTTAGTGATTTTATTTATTTAGATACACAAATATTGGCAAAACTGAGCACCAAAGTAAATCGCTCACAGACAACAGTCCTAACTCTCTCATCGAATTCCCAGATAATAGGGGCCCTGGAATCACAACCCCTTTGATCGTGTAACTCTGTACTATTTCTTAATTTCGAACTATCAATCAAAGTCAAGTTGCGAGAACCTTCTGAATGCACTAGGATGTATTTTAGTTAAATGGAATTCGGTTACCTACCGAAATATTACAACGCAGGTTGTGCGTAACTCGATCAGATAGCTAAAATCGTCTTAGAAGTAAATCCATTGATGAGATGAAAATATTCAGCTATTCGTGTCTACCCTGGAGGTACTATGAGTACTGGAAAACGTGCAGAGAATGGTGGAAATTTGGAAGGATAAGAAACAAGAGAT